GTGGGCTGCAAGGACTGATCAGTCTAAAAGAACTCCAGGAACTGTGTCTCGACCGGACTGCCGTCACTAGCAGGGGCGTTTCAGCCTTGATCACACACTTGCCACATCTGCAGGTACAGGATTTAAATATAAAAAAATCTTCCTTTTTACTTTTTTATCAAAAGTGACAGTAAAGAAAATGATCAACATTTATAATATTTTGTTATGTATTTAGAAATTCAACTTCCATGTTGTTTTTGTAGGTGATGGGTTTGGCCAGTACACAGGTTGGCGATACAGTGATCAGACAAGGTCTAGTATACTGTCCGCAGCTGCTGAAACTCAACCTCAGCAGAACCAGAATCACTGATCACGGTACGTTGCATATTGGTATCCCCTCCAAAATCCTGTTCTAGTATAAAGAAACATCTCTAACATCATGTGTTTAATATCTCAGGTCTGAAGTTCCTGTGTCGTATGCAGTTGAGTCAAGTGAACCTGGACGGCACAGGTGTGACTCTCGTTGGCATTGCCAACCTGATCTCCGCCTGCCCTCACCTGACCAGCGTACGAGCCAGCCAAACCCGCGCCATACCTCCAGACCAGCAGTCTGACGACGACGATTACGATGATGGCGGCAACACCACACGATCCTAGTTTTATTTTTGTTAGTAGCCTTCAGTTTCTCAATGGAAAGAGTATTCAGAGCTTCCTTTTTCCATAAAGTAGCACTACAATCTCACTTGGGTTCGACAATCAAGTTGAATTGTTTTTTTGTTTTTTTTATGTGGTTACACAACTTGTTAGTGTTATGAACAAAAAGTTCATATTTAATCTGCGTTTTGTCTGTAAAAGGAACTTTAAATGTGCCATGATATGCACACTTCAAATTTCTATTTTCTGTGGACATTTTGCATTTTTTGTAAAATAAAGTGAATGAAATATCATTAAAAATTATTGACCACTTGTAATACAGTGCAAAAATGCATTATGAGGTACACGGCGGTGTTATAATTTAGTAACGATGATGCTCAAATATTGATAATCAACATTATGCATGACAAATGTAGAAGTATCCTAATCTTTTACATTAAGGATTCATGCATGACCACAATATTTTTATTTGAAAAATGAATGACACCTAGATTTTATGTGAATATATGTTGGATAAGTGGATTGAAGTGGAAAGTCATTTTAGACTCGGTTGCAATGAAAGTGCATTTGAAGGTGCAGTAAGCGATTTCTGAGAAATGCTGTTGATATTTAAAAATCACCAAAACAAACACACCCCATCTTGATAGCTCCGCCCCCAAATTCACCAACATGCTATGCAACACAGGCACCTCCCCCCTAATGAATGGACACGCCCCCTACTGCTGATTGGCTAATAGTGTTTTGGTGCTCAGTCTGATCCACTTCCAACAAATTCTCAGAAATCGCTTACTGTACCTTTAAGTGTTTTTTTTATTTAGTTAAGAAATTACATGCCAAAGTCTGTAATTTTACTGAATCTAACAGAAGTTTCATTCCGGATCATACATGCATATTCATCTTGGACTCGTTAGTTCATTAGCATATCTTTAAAATATAAAAATAAAATATTTGTTAGTCTAGTGGCATTAACTGGATCCAGGTTTACACTAACATACTGTATATCTGTCTTTAACTCGCACAGTTTTGAAATGATACCGATTCAATTATAAAGTGAATAGTGCAAAACAAAACGAATGAAGAGCATCATCACAGGCGTATCGAAGCATTGGCGTTCGACTGTTTCTGTAAGCATTTGTGTTGTACCTTCATGCGTTTGAATGCAATAACATTTGAAGATGTGAAAACTAAGATCTCAACTATATCTGGAGGTCTAAAAGGTCTATGTATTTAAGAAACATTGTCAAGTTCTAAATTATAAACATACCTTTAATGCTTGATGCTGTTCTGTCTTGACATGATGCGAGGGTTTGTTTGACGAAAACCGTCAAAAGCGTTCTTGTTTATAACAGTTGTCTAGTCTGAATTGAAATGGAAATAGAGACAAAACCCTGTTTTTTACATTCAGAACTCAGGAGCCAGTCAATGGTGCATCATAAACATAGTAGCGTCTTTTTCACGTTTATTTAAAATGCCATGAATTTTCAACATATGTTCCTGCTGTGTTGTCAGTTTTTCACTGACATTAACACAGTGAATGCTGTTTGATGTTTTAGAAAAAGTTAGTTCTGTACATCCTGTATAGGTAACATAGTGATGTGCAAGTATACAAACATTTCACAACAATCCATTAGGGAAGCAACTAACAAATTCACAGAATACCACCTCTTATGTGTGTGATGCATGTACAGGCCATGCATGCTCTCTATATTACATGTGCTTGTACAGTTTATTTTACAGGCAACTAGGATGGTTCACAGCATTAATAAAATATACATTTTGCAATGGTTTATTTAACCATTTCATTTTATGGCAACCCTATATATATATAAACTCACTTTTGTTTTGTATAATGTAAAATTGACAAGTATTTTGATAACATTTTTATTAGTGTTACGCAACTACCCTTTAATAATAAGCAACATGTAGGCCTATTTAAAGGTGAACTAAGTAACTTTTTTACCTTAACCGAACAGCTTTGGAGTCATTGTAATGTTTATATTACTGATTTCGTGTTGAATGGTGGTCGTCTCGCACCCCCCTGGTGCCTGTGAGCCGCAAAACCACCCTTGCAACTTTGAGCCGGCGGCCCGCCGGCCTCAGTGTTAGGAAGTATCGTGTGATATCAGGTCTCGCGAGGTAACGAATTGCTTTATGGCAAAAAACAGATCTGATAAAATTCGGATAAAATGAGCATCAAACAGAAATAACCCGGCGCCGTATACATGTGGTGTTCGAGGCACACATACAATACAGACTGCCGACAGTTAAACAGGGCGCGCGCAGCTCCTAAAGGGGCCATACCTTATTTCCACTCGTTACAGCTTCCATCCTACTGAACAGGTACCGGTGTACAGGGGGAGGGGATCCGGCCGTGAGTGCGAGCCATCTCTGCGTGAGTGCTATTCACGACAGTACAAGTACTCCACAGCGACTCTAGGGGTCGCTGTTTGACAAAAACGGAATTCCTACTTAGTGCTGCTTTAAAGTTGCTCTATGTAACTTTTCTACTAAAATGAATCCTTTTTTTATTGCCTGTGTGTGAAGGGGTTGTAATCACACATTAAAATGATCCACTTGTCGAGTTTTGCTATTACCTCTGAAGGCCAGTATTCCTATTTCTATGTGAAGTCTCCGGGTCGGATTTACCGCGAAATCCAACGGATGTGACGTGCATGCGCGCTCCCGAGCCTCTCTCCTTATATACAGTCTATTGTAGACGGTAGGGGTGTGCAAAGCAGCCGGTATTTGTATCTGTATTTGTTGAGGGGGGAAAAGTATTCGTATTCGAGAAAAAATTTAAAATAGGCCTAAAAATCTAGTTTGGAGTTGACTGGATTGGTGAGACGGGGGGGGTTGACTAGCTTTCATAACGCACACACGCAAGGTCTCTCGCTCTCTTCCGTGCGCGCGCTAACAGTTTGGAGCACAGTATGTTCTGTCTCGCATGTGCGTTAGATTCCGGGAGATTTGAAATAATTTCAGGGAGCCGCTATCAATAAAGATCTGCGTGCCATATAACTCCCACAAGTGCATACAATTCGACACAACTACACAAGCATTTTTTAACCGAACGTTAACGTTACTCTGTCTAAATTACCGAGCTAACAGAGCTACGTAAACAGAGCGAACATGACAGCATCCGACTGCAGACGTCAATAATGCAGCGTAATTGATCTCCCGATCAAACTCCGCTTCCCGAAAGTTATAACCTGCCTCCGGGACCCAGTTAAGGTACAAAAATCTATTCAACAAAAATAGTGATGCAGTTAAGTGTTTTTTCGCTCAGCCGAGCCCTCTCTGTTGCTGTGTGGAGCAGCGTGTGTCAGTCACCTCTTCCTGAACGTCACTCACTCACTCACACACTCTAACTCACTCATCCGTGCATGCACTGCGGTCTCGTGAGGAAACGCAGCTTTTTGATATAAAGTTTTTCTTGTTCCCGAATACAAATATTTTTTTAAGTATTTGTTCGAAATAACTATTCGTAAAAAACACGTTATTTGTACCTTTCCGAATACCGTATTCGGGTTCGGCTCCACCCCTAGTAGACGGTCAGGGAGTTACGTCCGGTTAAAGGCGCACGTTTTTCGGCTTATATCTCAGTCAATCTTTGATCAATATTCCCAAGACTCTAATCGTTCGTAGTGCTGGACGGGGCCTTTCGAACGAGCCCACCCCTGAGGTCCAACTCGCCCGGCTCCCCGAGTTATAGCCGTTCAAAATCGGGGGTCCCAGCGAACGGCGATCCGGTAGGGGGCATCCCCGAGGCCCGCCACTCTAGTGTTCGGGCAAGGGTTCCCCTGGGACCTCCTCCCCCGAATTTGAGCTCTCTGGGTCTTTGCGTTCCAGAGATACGAGCGATTTTCTTCTGAGATCGTGACGTCACCGGCGTCCGCAATTTTGCAGCGCGCCCGATGGTTTTCTGCTAATATCTCCGCGAAAACACCACCAAAAACTATGGAACTTATATGGTTCTTTTCAGCTCGACTAGATGGTCCCAACGAGCTCGGTGCTCGCCGAATCCGTCTAGTATTTGCCGAGATATTTGCGTAATAGACGGTATTGTCTATGAGTTCGAGCACGAGCGCTCTTGTAAAATTTGGTTGCAATCTGAAACATCACCACTAGAGGCCGCTAAAAGTTACGTAGAGCACCTTTAAATGTAATTATTTTGTAAAGTTAAAAATTTAAATATCTTTAAATCACGCTTAAATATTTTAAAAATGAGTTGGCGAGATACGGTATCATGAATTGAGAAATCAAAATTTCCTTCTTTTGCCATATGTACTATAAAACATCCTGTAAATTTCAGTACTTCCTCGTTAATCCAAAAACAGCTTTTATTGAAACCAAGCTGCCAGAACGACTCGACTTTACATTACATTAATGTCACATTATTACGTCGTAGTGCGATGAAAGATCAACGCCTACTTCTACATCAATGTTTAGTTCAAAGTTAAGTTGAGCTTAATACAGTATTTTTGTTTATAGCATATTTTCATTTTGTTCACAAAACGTAATAATTGGGAGACCCCTGTTGAAGTCCCCTGGTTTAAAATATGCATTTTTTACATTCACAAAACTATAATGGCGCTTAAAAACTACAAGAATAGTACAAATAGTGACTATTAATGTTTTTACAGGCTATCAAAGGACAAGGGTGTGAACTTGTAGCCGGATCCCTCGTAAAACTTGTTCTGAAATTCAACCCTGAAAACAAACACATAAAAAAAAGTCACTTTAACTACATTCATATCACTGCCATTTTGTATAATATTTAAACATGCTTTGTAAACAGATCTTCTATTATTGTTAGTAACAGTACACTGAACCTCACACTATTAATGCGGAATTTAGACACACTTCAAGTACAGAGACATTAGACCTTCGGGCCAGATATACTGTATGTAAACTTTAATAGATTACAAATAGACAGACAAACATGCCCCAAGTCAAGGGTCATGAACAAGTCAAATACCTTGATGACTAACATGCAACTTACAAGTGCAAGGTGAAAGCTTGTCATTTGTATGATAAAGTACAGAGGGTGAGACTAGGTTTTCCTAGTTAAAAGAATCAGTGAAGTCTTGTTGCTTATGAATAATGTGTTGTTCTTACCAATGCAGTCGTAAAGCATGCAGAAAAGCAGACAGGCCCTCCATAATCAGAAGAACAGTCACGGTGAGAACAGCAAAAGCAGCAAACTGCAGAACCAGCATGAGTGAACCCACACCAGAGGAGAGCTTCAGCCCCGCCTGGAGAACCATCCGCCAAAGCACCTCCGACAGCTCTGCAGACCACACACACACACACACACACACACACGCCTCTGAGAACCTCATTTACAGGAATAATTCAAACAAAAATCTGAATGATCCCATAATTTACTCACCCTCGAGCCATCCTTGGTGTATATGACTTTCTTTCAGCCGAACACAATCGGAGTTATGTTATAAAATATCCTGGCTCTTCCTTAGCTTTATAATGGCAGTGAATTGCTACCAACAGTTTGAAGCTCAAAAAAAGCATATCTATCCATCATAAAAGTAATACAGCTATTGCTGGAAGCCAGTGATTATAGTTTATAAAGTTTTAAAATATGTTCTTACAAAATCCCAGAAGACATTTATTAACCCCCTGGAGCCGTATGGATTACTTTTATGATGGATGGATGCACTTTTTTGGGCTTTAAAATCTCAGGTACCATTCACTCCCATTATAAAGCTGGGAAGAGCCAGGATATTTTTTAATACAACTCTGATTGTGTTTGGCTGAAAGTGGAAAGTCGTATAATCGTAGGATGACTTGAAGGCGAGTAAATTATGGGATCACTTTTTTAGTTTTGAACAATTCCTTTAAAGTGTAACTTTGCCGATTCTAAATCCGTGTTGTATTGTTTTTACAATGTCGAGTGTATATGTAAATGAGCAATGTTTACTCGTTCTCTGTGTTACCTGGACTGAGAAATGTACAATTATTTGTCAGCAAAAACTAAAGAAAATAGATTTTTTAAATGTCTTTGAAAAAAAGACTCTTATGCTCACCAACGCTGCATTTACTTGATTAAAAAATACAGTAAAAATAGTAAAATTGTGACATAATATCACTTACTGTTAACCATTTAATCTATTTTAAAATATAATTTATTCCTGTGATGGCAAAGGTGAATTTTCAGCAGCCATTACTCCAGTCTTCGGTATATTTTCAGAATTAAATTCTCTTGGTATTCTGTTAAATTGAGATTATAATGCTATATAATACCACATAGGGAAGCTAAAAGTAAAAGTTTAAAACATGCTCTGGTGTTGTTGAGCTTTGTCTCTCGGACATTTACTCAAGCCGATGCAGGGATAGAGTAACCTGCATCATGAGGGACTCTACCCATCCAGCATACGGACTGTTTTCCCACCTCCCCTCGGGCAGAAGGCTGCGTAGCATCCAGGCAAGGACCACCAGGCTGAAGAACAGCTTCTACCCAGATGCGGTCAGACTAATGAACTCCTCCACACTGCCATGCCTTTGTCTTTTTAAGAAATAGTATTGCATTTTATTTATGTTTTAAATGTTTTTATGGAAGTTTCTTAAGATTTTTATTAATTATTGAAGTAGTTGGTCAACACCGAGACCTGAGTTCTTATTTCGTTCCCCTCATCCGTGTTGTGAGAATGACAAATAAAGTTAAGTCTTAAGTCTAAGTCTAAGTCTACAGTAGGTGTCCTCATAAACTGCACACTCATAAATCATTTCACTCCTGATACAATCAGTCACTGAGAAACTAATGAAAACACAAAGAACGGCATTATTCTCGAACAGATGACAGAGTTATTTTTATTACTGTGTTTTATGACTTACCTGCGTGAGCCAGACTGAGCGCCCAGAGCCGAAGGTACGAGGCCGTGTTGGAGATGCAGCCCAGGCAGTACTCGATCGTGTGGATGGCCTGGTTCACAAACACGTCACCTATGCTCACCTGAAGAAAAACACAGGTGAAACCAGCTGCCCTCATTGCTTGTACAGCATACTTCATGTAAAGACATTTGAGCATTTTGTATTTCAAATGTTTATAACATTTAAAGACTTAGAAAAGAATAGACTTTAATTGTCATTGTGCAGTAGAACCATACAACGAAATTTGTTTGTGCAGCCTCTAACATAAATAAACACACTCACACAATAAATCAAATCAAATATAAAAAAACATTATGGGGGGGGGGGGGGGGGGGCGCATGATTGTTCAGTTCTGTGATGGCCCTGGGGATAAACTGTCTAAGAGACATTCAGGGTCAGATTGTTGTCTTTACACCATCCTGTCAGTCTGTCAACTTCATCTCTGTAGGTGTTCGAGATTTCTCCCACCACAGTTGTGTCATCTGCAAATTTTATCATTGTATTCGAGGGGTGGGTGGAGATCATAAGTGTAGATGGAATAGAGCAACGGGCTCAACGCGTAGCCTTGCGGTGCTCCAGTGCTGAGGGACAGGTGTGGGCCCATTCTCACTGTCTGTGGGCGATCTGTCAGGAATTCCTTGATCCACATACACAGGCTGCTGCTGAGGCCCAAGCCAAGGAGTTTGGAGACCAGCTGGTTAGGAATGATGGTGTTAAACGCTGAGCTGTAGTCTATGAAGAGAAGTCTCACATATGTCTTTCCCTTGTCAAGGTGTGTCAGCGCTTTATGGAGGGCTGTAACGATAGCATCCTCAGTGGACCTGTTTTCCCTATAGGCATACTGATGCTGGTCCAGGTTAACATGCTTCATCACCAGGCTCTCATATAACAGACTTTCCATTTAACATAAGCAGCTTACCATCTCATATTTCTGATGCTGTGAGGAGAAACCCGTATCTGTTCCATGCTGATCATTGTTTCCAAACACCTGCATAGAGACCTTGTTAGTCACAAACACTTAAATATATTATTATAGACACAAAATATATTAAATATATAATTTTAGAAATAGAAATGTGCCAAATTGAAAATGTAAAATAAATAAAAAGTTAAATAAATTATTAAAATAAAATTGAAAAATATTGCAGTATTGTGATATATCGTTTAAAAAACACTAATACATCGAAACACTGTAAAAAATTACATGATCAATACGCAATTTCCAACTATTTTTTATAAGTTATATAAGATTCGACTCCTTTTTTCAAAGTCAGTTTGATGTAGTCTAAGTTAAAATGACAAACATTTAAGTTGATTGTACTTAAAAAATTTAAGGCAGCAACTTTTTTTAAAAGTGGTAAATCTAAATATTAAAATTCAAAGAAAATCTTATAGATTACTGAACTTAATTACTTTTTATGTACTTATACTGAATATTTTTTAAATATTTATGTTATGCACATACAGATACAGTATATGCTGTAATTGCATTTATGTTAGATCATTTTAAATTTAATTATAAATAATCTATCTACACAAAAAATATGTATCAATGTTTTTTTTTTTTTATGTTTGTAAGGATTTAATTTGCATTTAAATTTAGTTTAATACATAACATAATTTAATTAATAATACAATACATTTTTCCATGTTGGAAAACAGTGTTATTTTAGTATCATTGAGATATTATTATAGATCATATTAATATTTTTATATTTAATTTTTTCATTTTAATTTTGGTTAGTTTTAGTCATTTTGCTGTGTATTTTGCCTTTTTTATCTTTCTTTTTTTTTTTTTTTACTTCAGCTTTAGTTTGAGTTATTTACAACATTAAGCCTTGGCAACTATAGCTTTAAAGGTTTTAGTCTTAGTTTTTACTATAATAACCCTGGTTGAAAGAAGCATTAACTGATCTTGGGACAGGGTTGCTCTGTTCTGCTCACCCACCTGGTGTCTGGCTTTCATTCGGGTCCTGTAGATGAGGAGGGGTTTGGCCAAGAGCAGCACAGGAACCATGAGCACAGCCGTCACAACCAAGAAGATCTGAACAGCTTTCTGTAGAGGATTACAGCAGCGCTCATAATCTGTCATGCTGAGTGCTTTGGCTATGTGAAGCCAGGAGTAAAGAGCTGCTTTTAGAGGAACAATGAATCCAAACCTGTCCTCTGTACAGAAACTTGTGTTCCGGCTGGTAATCAAACATCATCATGTTGATGAAGAGTAGCAGGATGCTGGGAGCCATTTCAGAGCGCAGGGTGATGCACCATTTGTAGAGGACGAGGAAGATCAGGTATCCAAAGAGAGAGAGCATGAAGATCAGCTGAGGAACAAACTGAAGTAAAATGTCCTGGAATTTCCCGTAATGTTGAACAAACAAGATTTTATATGCACTGACCGGGTCAATTCCAAACACGTACGGGCGACCAGAATAAACTCCGGGCACAGTTGGGTTCAGCTGAAGATGATGATTATCATGCAGTGTTTTGTTTCTGAGATAAAGCAAAAAATGATCAAAATGGAAAACGACAAATAACTTTAAAGCCTGCAAGCGTCCAGAGTACTGTACGTACTGCCAAGGCCCGTGAGGAGAGAACATGGGTCGCACACGCCAGGAAGAGCCAAAAATGTTGAAGGACTTGGAGAAGCAGTCATTGTAAATCAGTCCAGTATATATAGAGAACATTCCCATGAGCAAGATAATGTAGCGTCCACCGACCAGGACATCTGTAATCTGGGAGGAAAATCAAAGCTTACAAGAAAGTGATGTTATTATGCAAACAAAAACTATGAGACATTGACATTTAATGCCATTCAATACCTCATTTTTCATCTTTCGTAAACATTCGGCCTGTGTAATGAGCCAGACTGCGAGCAGTGTCATCACCAGTCCATGACCGCAATCTCCAAACATCACCGCAAACAGGAAGGGGAAGGTTACAATAGTGTATGGAGCTGAGAAAATAAATGAGGCAAAAAAATAGTAAATAAATAAATAATAACATACATTTTGGATGGATGGATGGATGGATGGATGGATGGATGGATGGATGGATGGATGGATGGATGGATGGATGGATGGATGGATGGATGGATGGATGGATGGATGGATGGATGGATGGATGATAGACTATAGAAGATTAGCAAGAGTAACAGCATCACCTGGATTGATCTCCTGATAGGTACCGACTCCATAGGCATCAATAATGGCCTGGAATCCTTCAGTAAATGTGTTGGTTCTGTTGAAGGTTGGTGGAGTTTGCTGGGTTTGGATGCGGTTCAGGACTGGGGTCACACTGGAACCACTCTGCTCCTAAAGAAAATGAAAATCACACATGTATGAGAAACTTGCACGACTTGAGGCATAATTAATGTCTGCAGTACAAATAGTTAGAGTGGAGTTAAGAGTATTAAACTACTTCCACAGGGTAAAATTTACAGTATAAATATTTTAAAAATATTCCATTCAAGTAAAGTACATCATTTGTAATTAAGATCAGTTTAACTTTAACATTTATATTCAATATGTACATACACTCACCTAAAGGATTAGGAACACCTGTTCGATTTCTCATTAATGCAATTATCTAATCAACCAATCACATGGCAGTTGCTTCAATGCATTTAGGGGTGTGGTCCTGGTCAAGACAATCTCCTGAACTCCAAACTGAATGTCAGAATGGGAAAGAAAGGTGATTTAAGCAATTTTGAGCGTGGCATGGTTGTTGGTGCCAGACGGGCCGGTCTGAGTATTTCACAATCTGCTCAGTTACTGGGATTTTCACGCACAACCATTTCTAGGGTTTACAAAGAATGGTGTGAAAAGCGAAAAACATCCAGTATGCGGCAGTCCTGTGGGCGAAAATGCCTTGTTGATGCTAGAGGTCAGAGGAGAATGGGCCGACTGATTCAAGCTGATAGAAGAGCAACTTTGACTGAAATAACCACTCGTTACAACCGAGGTATGCAGCAAAGCATTTGTGAAGCCACAACACGCACAACCTTGAGGCGGATGGGCTACAACAGCAGAAGACCCCACCGGGTACCACTCATCGCCACTACAAATAGGAAAAAGAGGCTACAATTTGCAAGAGCTCACCAAAATTGGACAGTTGAAGACTGGAAAAATGTTGCCTGGTCTGATGAGTCTCGATTTCTGTTGAGACATTCAGATGGTAGAGTCAGAATTTGGCGTAAACAGAATGAGAACATGGGTCCATCATGCCTTGTTACCACTGTGCAGGCTGGTGGTGGTGGTGTAATGGTTTGGGGGATGTTTTCTTGGCACACTTTAGGCCCCTTAGTGCCAATTGGGCATCGTTTAAAATGCCACAGCCTACCTGAGCATTGTTTCTGACCATCTCCATCCCTTTATGGCCACCATGTACCCATCCTCTGATGGCTACTTCCAGCAGGATAATGCACCATGTCATAAAGCTCGAATCATTTCAAATTGGTTTCTTGAACATGACAATGAGTTCACTGTACTAAAATGGCCCCCACAGTCACCAGATCTCAACCCAATAGAGCATCTTTGGGATGTGGTGGAACGGGAGCTTCGTGCCCTGGATGTGCATCCCACAAATCTCCATCAACTGCAAGATGCTATCCTATCAATATGGGCCAACATTTCTAAAGAATGCTTTCAGCACCTTGTTGAATCAATGCCACGTAGAATTAAGGCAGTTCTGAAGGCAAAAGGGGGTCAAACACAGTATTAGTATGGTGTTCCTAATAATCCTTTAGGTGAGTGTATACATATAAGATTTAGAATTTATATTTATTAGTGGTTTATTTATTTAAAAATGTCACATTTTGCAATATTTAGGATAATTGTTTTGTTTTACTTTTTTATTTCTATCTTTTAAACCACTTGCAAAGGGGCAAAATTGCTCAAACTAACATTAACTTTAACATGCGACTCGCTTTACTTTGCAGACTTTTAAATAGTTTTGAATTATTAGGGATGGTGGTCTGCAGAACATTTCTTCAAGGCAGTATATAAACATACATACTGATCCCATAATCAGGGCGTTTTGAACTAAAGTGAGATCTGACACGGGACACCAGATCTCTGCTACGATCAGCTTCTGCGTGATGTCTATGTTGCAGAGATTCAGTGTGTAGTAGATGGCCTTCATCTTCTTCACTTTACTGCCCCACTCCTGGACGTGGTCGGCTGCTCTGGTCAAGACACCACCGCGATATTCTTCAGTTCTTCTCAGGATCTTTCGAAAAAAAACATGCACATAGCCATTCCCTACGTTTATTTTTGAATATCGATCATTGGTGAAAGAACACACTTGAAAAAACACCTGGCAAGTAAAAATCATTTGACTCACCATTCGAAGATCTTCCATTCGTGACTTTACGTTGTTGCTCATCTTCTTGCGCTCATACAAAGTTTTGGGGCATGAGTACAAGCTGGCATGAAACCTTTAAGGATTGGAGGAATCATTTTGATGAGATCATTTCACAGAATTCAAAATAAATCAAGCAAATGCAAATTAGGCCGTCAGATAAAATTAGTCATTCATATTTAAATATGCATGGATTGTTTTGACCAAGTTAAACTGCTACTGTCATTCTCTAAATATGGTGACAAACATATCATTAAAAAATTAAATTAGTCAAGAAACTGACACACTGATTGTCTGACCATGTTGAAAAAGTTAAATAAATTTTTTAGTTCATTTACAATGTCATTTGTGTTAACAATTTTTTTAAATATTGTTTTTAGTGTTATTGTTTAAGTCAACATTGTTTTTAAAAAATATATTTCTATTGCTGGTATATAATGTGTGTGGAAATACCATGTTTCTCACCCTTCACACACTTTTCTGATCTTTTCTCGCACATGTTCTCCCTGGACAAATATGATGAACACGTCCTTCTTCACAGCTGCTCTCTGCTTAAAAGAAACATACTTACTGATCACTGAAGATAAACTGAACACAGACAAATAGACTGTGCATTAGTTTATTCATCATAAATAGAGAAATATATATTTCACATATAAGTAAAAGCCTATAGCCACACGTGTGGTGTGTACTGATAATCTGAGAGCAAGCTTGTATGAGCAGTGAGCACATATTGATAGACATAGATAATGGATTCTGGTGTTGGAGAATATAGAATGGCACTTATGTTGCAGAAGTGTTAAGCGTTGACAGTCCATGTTTTGAGTGTAAAATAATATCATAACAATAAAAATAACTTGAACTTAAAGTCCCCCTACAGTCAATAATTTTATCCCTTAAAACTCATCTTTAATAATCAAAACAACAAATGTTTTTCCCTCTAAAAAATAATTGATCCATGCCTTAAAATAGCTTGAATGTAACTACACCCTTGCTTTATTTAGTAATATGCCAATATGCAAATCATGCTCCCTTCCCGGGCTATCGGAATAATCGTTAGTTAAAAATTATACATGATCGCCCTCTCAAGTCGTACCACTGGGAAGCTCGGGAATCATTTTTGATACCCAAGTTCCCGAGTTGGGCGGGCCACAAACTTAAAACATGGCGGATTTGACCGAAATTCCAGAATCGTCAGCAAGCTATCTAGCGCGATGAACGTTTATATGGTTTTCAAAGAATGGGAAGCTAAAATCATTTTGGCTTTAATACGATTTTCCCCAAAAATAGGCAAGAATAAACCTGGTGACCTCCATGATTCCTGTTCTTTCCGACAACAAAGCACTGTGACGAGCTTGGAATCATGATTTCAGAAGTGGGAAGTAGGACATTTCCGATATCACGTGAAGGCAGCATTAGTCCCCGCCGCCACTCCATCACACCAGCTCGGACTAGCGTTACCTGATCCTCTCAAGTGAAAATATTGGTTTAAGTCAGCCGTATATGTTTGAACCAGAAACTGATTCAGAAGAAGAGGAAGAGTGAATTATACACGATTGTCTGTCAATGTATCAGAATGGTAATGCGTTATCGCTCTCTACAACGTCAGACATATAATGGTATTTACTATAATTAGCTTTTGGGTTGACTACGTTATCAAATAGCTAATGATGTGTTGCTAATTTTACACAAACCATGTTGCCATTCGCCATCACAGAGTCAGACTGCACGTTGATGGGATTGGTTACATGTTTGCGACGGTCGGAAACGCGTTTTTGAGACTGGCAACATCCTGTTGCACTTCCATACTATATATAGTAGGCAAAAAACAGTATGTGACAAAAGATAATCATAAGAGTTCCCCGAATGACCTACTACTTCCAACGAGATTCTGGACACTTTACTATCCCATGAGGTCACGGGAGAGGATTTATTAATGGCAGTGAAGCAACACAACTGATAATGACAACATGGCGAACGTAGTTCATTTGGATTACATTCATACTGCACACATTCATAAATATATGAAGTAATTACTTATTCAGAATAAGTTCTGTCTTCCTGCATCCTGTCTTTGGTAAACTGCCATTTTAAGGGGAAAATACTCAGGTGTTGACTGATGAATTCACACATGGTTTGTCTTTAAGCATGTTAAGAACATCACATCATAGACATATAAACAACACTAAAAAAGGGGGTCTTTCACCACAGGGGGTCTTTAAAATACCCATTACAAATATGATAGTCTCACCACCACTTGGAGTTCCTCTGTGGTCTGTATCTCTGCGTGCCGAAGGACGAAATTTCCATGAAAAAGGCGCCAAAGAACCTTTTCAAAAGCAGGAAACCTGTCTTGTTTGATCACACCTGCAACAAAACTTAAAATGCATACAGATAGGCCTATGGCATTAGCAGTACAATTAGGTCAAGCTGTAAAAAAAAAAAAAAATTGTGTTCGAACTGGAATCTTTATTTTAAAGCATGTATGTATCAGTTGGACAAAATCTTTTAAATGTACCCTAGATTTAGAGGTCCGGAGGTGCTGGAACTGCTGTATCTGCGGCAGGTTATGAAGGACGAGACAGTCATGGACACTGAGTCTTCAGAAGGAGGCTCAGAGCATAGCAGTAACTCGGCCTGCACACAAGCAATTGTCAACACAACTTTAGTACATCAGTCTGTCTATGGTAACCTTTCGCTTTCATTGCATGGAAATGAGTATTATGGACAACTCCTTTCAATCCCACGCAAGTTTGGAACAACATGAAGGCTAGTAAATGATGAAAGAATTAGCATTTTTTAGGTAAACTATCACCTCAAGCATTTGAAATAATGTTAAAAATTGTCCATTTGACTCTTAGATGCAGTGAAGGTGAAACGCCCTCAAGATCAAGCTTGAATAAACCAAATTGAAAAATTTAGTTGACTAAATATGCAAATATTTGAATATTAAGCATGAACTGGGGCCTTAAATTCAGCATGAAACTTTTCTTCACTATTGTGATGTATATTCGAGTGAAACTCTTACTATTTCTGCCATAGAAAGATATAAAAAATAGAAATATATTTTATTTAAAATTATTATTTATAAATCATTTTAAGTTGAAGTACTAAAAATTACTGAAACTAAAACAAAAAATATATTTAATCTATATAAAATATTAAAAAGAAACTAATACATATTACAAAAGCACAAAAAACAACCTAAAACTGAAATGAAAAATGCAAATATAAAAATAGCATTTCAAAATAATAAATACTATAATAGTAGGCCTATATAAATATATGAAGTAACACTGATTTAGGATGAAATGGTTCTGAGATCTCGAGATCTTCACCTCCTCAAAGAAGTCTTCAGTCATCCTCAGCAGAGAGTCGATGTCCATCAGCTCAATGAGGTTCTGTCTGAGTGTGTCATGGTTACAGTTGATTTCTCGCAGTTCCTGCTCCAACTTCTCAAATGTGGACTAAAGGTTTGAAGACAATCATTATGTCACAGTAACTTTCAGAATTTCTGTTTGTGTGTCAAATTGTTATACAGAGTAAGAGAGAACGGGTTTATTTGGTCAATGCAATGATTGACCAATCAGAATCAAGTATTCCAAATAAAAATAGCAGCATAATAACAAAATGACAAGTGTTGTTTTCACCTCCAGCTCCAGAACATCTCTGGGGCAGGGAACCATCTCCTTCTCCTTTGTTGCAGAAATTACGATGTTAGATTTCACCATCTCCTTCTCAAGATATCCTAAATAATGTACAATTTCAAGAGAAAGCAACATGACCATCTTTGAAGTAAGATAAATATATCCAAATGGTTTCAAATTAATATAGGGAACCGTGTTGGGGAAAGTTACGTTTAAAAGTAATGCGTTACAATATTGTGTTACTCCCTAAAAAAGTAACTAAATGAGTTACTTAGTTACTTTTCTGGAAAGTAATGCATTACGTTACTTTTTCTCACCTGGGCTGGGCTCACTTGCTTGTTTTTTTTATAAGAAAAAAACAAACAAAAGTTCAATTTTTGACAATTGTAAAGGCCCTTTCCACACCAGAAGCCTCAGGCTGAAAGAAGTGCAAATTCACGCCTGTACAGTAGAGCGCAGCTCAAACAAAGCTTTCAGCTCTGCTGCCATTCAGCAGAAGAAAGTTCAACACTTCACCAATAATAACAAAAAAATTAAACACAAACGTGATGTTTATGTAGTTATTTTTGCTTATTAGTGGTTGAATTGGATCATCAACATAACTTGCGTTATTTGAAGTCAGATATTTTGTTGTAAATTAAAAAGTAATACGTTACTTGAAAAAAAAGTACACATAACGTAACACTACCTGGGAATATGTTTCAAGTGTAAATCAAGGGTTTATTGTTAGATCACATCTGCACAACATGTAAAACAGAGAAGATATAGCCTACATTTCTGCAATATTAAAATGGCTTAAAAATGTATGAAATTTACGGCACAAATGTTGTGAGATCAGAATTAGGACTATCATAAGTGTTCAGTATATCAATAAATACAATAAACCAGCTTGTTATAATAAAGTATACATTCTTACTCAGAATTCTCTCCATTTCTTCACATTTCTTCACTTCCTTCACAAAGTGCCTCTGAAATGCTGTTACACCAGGATTCAGCTAGAAGATCATAAAAAAAAAAAAATACACATATGATTTCTAACATGGTTTCGGTTTATTTTAGACGACTTAGGCCATATTAGAAATGATTCCCTTATTTAGGATTAATTTACCGACATAATGTACAGAACCAGTTTTTCTTGCTCTGCAGTGTTATGCATTGATCGATTCAGCCAATGGTGAGAAATCAAATTATGTGACACTACAAGCTCAATATAAACTGAAAAATGATGTAGTGAGTATGCACTAGAAAGTGTGCATGCTGCTAAAAGCAGCACACATTTAGAAATCAATAGATCATGCTATTAAGGTTATTTGACAATCTGACAAATTAATCTTCCATCATAACATTTTAACTACAAAATAAAACAGAACTTAAAGAGCATTTAGCAGCTCATGGCCTGATGCTCAAACAATGTAATTTTAATTCAACAACACAGACTTTGTGGTCAATAGACAGTCGGAAGAAGTTGCTTACACACTCACACAAACGCATCAAGGTTACTTACATCTTTAAACTGAACCAAGCCAAGATGACCGAGTTCATTGATGCAATTGTGGGCCGATTCCGTTTGAAAGAACAGCTGCACGAGGCACATCTCCTCACTGCGAAATAAAGAACCCATTCTGAAATGCTTTAGAGAGCTGTGTATGGAGGAATATAAACTGGTCACATATGGTTGAGCGGCAGTGATTGTCTGGTTTTTGTAAGTCAGTCTATTAAATGTCTGTCTGTGAGATCAATAGTGTACTTGTGTGGCCTCAGGATCAATATCGACACCACTAGTGCAGCTGGAGCATCCAGACCGAATTATGATTAGTAACCCTGCAGCAAAGCACACATTTAAAAATACTGTATGTATTGTAGTGCAAATGACCTCAGAGGACATTAGTATTACTCTAATGTTGTAGCAATATTTGTTGCTGTGCCGAATGTTATGATGAATATGAATTGCAAAATAAACCCTGATGGGGTATTCGATAAACTGTACAGTATATGGCTAAAGAAAACATTTCTATTTTATTGGATTTCTTCTTCTATGACATTAAGATTAAGGCCTGGTTTCACTATAGGCTTAGATTAAGCCAGGATTAGGCCTTAGTTCAATTAGGAAATGTTTTTTAAAAACGTGCCTTAGAAAAAAAAAAAAGCACTACTGGTGTGCATCTTGAGACAAAACAATGGCACTGATATATTTTAAGATATGTCTGTGAAAGTTGCCAGTGAAACCTGGGGGAGGAGTATTACTAACTCACCCTCAAGTTGTTCCAACCCTGTATACATTTATTTCCTCTGCTGAACACATAAGAAGATATTTTGAAGAATATGGGTAACCAAACAGTCTCTGGTCCCCATTGACTTCCATTGTAGAAAAAAAAATACAATGGAAGTCAATGGTGTCCCACAACTGTTTGGTAACCCATATTCTTCAAAATATCTTCTTTTGTGTTCAACTGAGTTAAGAAACTGATACAGGTTTGGAACAACCTGAGGGTGAGTAGGCCTAAATGATGACAGAAATTTCCTAAAGGGTCTTTATAGTGGAAAAGGTTCTGTAGATTATTAGAATGTTCTTCACACTAATAAAACAAAAGATTCTTTTAAGAAACGGATCAATGAAAGGTTCTTTGGGACACCAAAAATGTTTCCTTATGGCATCACTCCTCTTTTGAAACCTTTATTTTTTTAAGAGTTCAATACTGTTTCTGTACAGCTTCTTTTTCGTGTGTTTATCAATGTTAAATATACTATTCTCTCATCTATGGATCAGAAGGGGTTGCTAAACGGAGGATTGGCTGTTAGGATGACTTGTTTGGAGAGGGAGACTCGACTGAATCTGGTAGACGTATGCAGCACAGTATCCATAGTCTCTCGGAGAACCTTTTTCTCCTCTTGCCATTTGTATGTTCCTCTAAAGTGAGGAAAGAGAAAAAGAAAATTAAACCAAAATAACGATCATTATTCTGTTAGATGCATATTTGTGTTGTTTTAAATTCACCCAAAGATGGCTCTTCAGGCACTTGATTTGGCAAAGTGTAGGCCTACATACACTCTGGGAAGCCGTTCATTGGATAAGTTCTCTTTACCCCATATATCTTGTCTGTAAATATTGATAATTTCCAGAGAGCTTGTTTCTATTAGCCTGCTTGCCTTCTTTCTCATCTACGCTGTCCTCAGAGAGGAACGAAGAGGTTTTGGATATGTTGTCCGGTGTAGAGCTGATAGAGATGGACTGGAAACCTGAGGAATGATGATGATAGATGAGGAACGATGGATCGGGATCCACACACACACACACACACACACACACACACACACACACACTATATAGCCTTAGCCTACAAATAAGTCAAGTATTTTTTATACAATACAGTAACGTTATATACAATTTTCTGGGTGTTGTGGGAGTCGGGACTCCCTCATCACAGGGGGCCCTGGTCAATGTTGTGTAAATTATCAGTCTCGAATTGAATCTCAATCTCACCTGCTGAGTTGTTCTCCTCTAGAGAAACCTTCATGCTACCCTGAGCACATGGGCTCAGTGATTTCGTCTTTTTGACAGTTTTATCTAACGTTATACTGTCCATAAGGGTGTTAGCCTATTATGTCTGGCGTAAAGCGGTCAAATATGAACACTCTTTCTCTCTCACTAATATGAAACTAGATTGACATTCGGATCTCTAATCTCTGTAGATTCGCGTTTTTCACTCAGGTGATTATAGATTAGTTTGACGGTGTGCGCTTTAAAATTAAACTATTAAAGTTGGCGCTGTCGTGTGATAAGTCCATGAAACGAAGAGCAGGGAGTATTTTTAAAAAGTTCTGCCGTTGAATTTGCTTAGCTACTTAAAAAGATACCAAATATGGTTGTACTGTTACTGTATGATAAAACACCAAACTAGGATTACGGCTCTGGCCACCTATAAACAAATACATGATAATTTTGAAATGAAAAAAAAAAAACCCGTATTATATTGTTTTATAAGTTTTACACAAAAGAAGAGCAATTGAATTTACATATGACGTCACATGGGCGCTTGATCATCACATGACTGCCTCACGCTTGACGGACGCGGAAGTGGAAACACTAGCTAAAGTAAAAACACAACGCTGCGGATTAAAGGACTCTTTATTAAACGATATGAGTGACGAATATTATCTAGAGCTCAGTGAAAACCCCGTGCAGTTTGAGAACGCGTCGAGCGTCAACAATGTGTTTTTTGACGAGGCGAATAAACAGGTGAGAACACGTTTAATAATTTGAAGTGTAATAATTACATGACAATATAAAGAGATATCAATGCTGTGTCAATAGGTAGCTTTCCTATGTTTTCCTTTGCAGTGTTCATCATATTCACTCCACGTAGATTTACTAATACATCTGGATTAGCCTTTTTAGTTTATGAATATACTAATATTTAGATTAATGTTAACTCATTTACTGTAACTGTATTATGTGCAATAACTTTGTCATCATGTATTGTAGTCATCAGGTTTATTGTTTTATAAGTTGGCAATACCATAGTCCATTTGCATATACTTTGGTATTCGGTATAATTCAAATGCTTCAAATAATATCATGGTAGATCCATGGAACACATTTACAAAAAACATTGGTATCAGGGTAAATTATCACATATGTGTAATTTAGACTTATCACATAAGTGTATCTTATTTATCTGTCATGATGAGTTATGCTTTATGATTATAATAGTGCATGTTTGATGTGATGTAGGTGTTTGCTGTACGGTCTGGTGGGGCCACAGGTGTTGTGGTTAAAGGACCAGATGACAAGAGCTCAGCGGCTTTCAGGTAAGTCAACTAGACTCTGCATTTTTCTATATTCTCATTTGCATGATGTAAAGTGTGTTTTTTTACTATTATTAAGTACTATAATAGTAATTGTTAATATTTGAATTAGCTGTTATTTTTAATTTAGTTTAATATTAATATTACTTTAATTTTGTATTATTTCTATATAGCTGTAATTAATTTTTATTTCCGTTTCAATAATTTAATCCCTAAACAAATGTATTTCAGTTAGGTGTCAAAGCAACATTTCTTATTTTCATTTAAGTTTTTCCTATTATTTCCTAATATTTATATTTTATTTGATATCAGCTTTATTTTAGTTACTGATCATTATTTTTAATAGTTTTAGTTAACTATAACAACACTAGAAATGATGCTTAAATTGTGTTTTGTTTGACAGAATGGATGACAAAGGAGAGGTGAAGTGTATCAAATTCTCATTGGGGAACAAAATCTTAGCTGTGCAGCGCACTACAAAATCAGTTGTGAGTATCATTCATTGGTGGTTGCTGTCGCAATAAATGCATCTATTGTTTGCAGGTTCCCTTTAACAGAATTTCTTTCTTTCCTTTTTTTTTAGGATTTCATAAACTTTATTCCTGACTATCCACACTTGGAATTCTCCCATGAGTGCAAGGTATATCCCTAAACAAACTAAGATTGACGTTAACACCCTTCAAGTCAAGTGCTGTTTTCATTTGCTTGCTTTATTTATATATGCATTTATTTATGTATATACAGTACTGTTCAAAAGTGTTTTTTGTTTTTTTGTAAAGCAATTAATACTTTTATTCAGCAAGGATGCATTAAATTGATCAAAAGTGACATTTTTAATGTTACAAAATATTTCTATTTAAAAATAAAAAAAAAGAATCCTGATAAAAAAGTATCATGATTTCATCAAAAATATTAAGCAGCACATTGTTTTCAACGTTGATAGTAATATGAAATGTTTCTTGAGCTCCAAATCAGTATATTAGAATGATTTCTGAAGGATCAGAATTCAGCTTGGCATCACAGCAATAAATTACATTTTAAAGGATATTCAATTTTTTTATTTAATAATTGTAATAATTATTTTATTATTAAATAATTTAATTTAATAATGTTAAATTGTAACTGTTGTTTTGATCAAATAAATGCAGCCTTGGTAAAACGTCTTTCAAAAACATTTAAAAATCTAACCGGCACCGACCAGACATTTTGAATACGTAATACATATTTTTGCTATTTTCATTTACCATCCTCAGACAAAAAATGCCAGTATTCTCGGGTTTTGTTGGACCAACTGGAATGAGATTGTATTCGTCACTGACCAGGGAATAGAATTCTACCAGGTGAGGTGACGCCTTACATCAAATCAGTAAATTAACTGAAGTAGTTTTTTTTATACAGAATCCTTGTTTTTCCTCTGTTCAGGTGCTGCCCGATAAACGAACCCTGAAGCTCTTAAAGAGCCAGAGCATCAATGTTAACTGGTACATGTATTGCCCAGAGACGGCCGTTCTTCTCCTTTCCACCACCGTACAGGGCAATGTGCTGCAGCCATTTGCTTTCAAGGTGAGTTTGGTGTTTGTGTTTATTGTTATTTTTAGGCGTGCAAGAGTTTTGCATCTGCAGATTTGAACCACAAGAGGGCAACAGTAAAACAGATTGACTTCAGTTGTACCCAAAGTAAAAGTGTATAAAGTTTTTCTCCGTAACTTAGGGCTTTCACACTTGAAAGAGTTAACCCTGGGTCATTCTTTGGGTTATCTTGCTTCACACTGCTAAACCTTGGGTTAACATTCTTTTATTTGCATGTGTCAGTGTCATTGATTGGATGAACACAGCACACAATCTGTTTATATAAAGGCTCTGCGCATCCTCATATTATATATTGCTAACTGTACTATCATGTTTAGGACTTTTCAGACTATAAAGGTAATAATAAAATGTTACCTTCTTCCTTCCATTTGTTGAGTTTTCTGTCACTATTTGACCTTTTTCCCATCAAATGCTGAAACGTCTGTTATATACAACATCATTCATTCATGTTTCCAAGCATGTGTATATGAGGCATGCGATTGTTGCTAAGCTGTGCAATGTACACTGTACAATTTTGCCAATGCAATGCGGGGGCAACAGTGCAAAAATAGTGCTAACCTCACTCCAAAGCAGGGTTTCTTAATCCTGGGTAAAAAGCGATGCTAACCCTGCTTTTAAATTACAAGTGTGAAACGTTCCTTTACCCGGGGTTAAAAGCAGAGTTTAGAATGGCGATAACCTGGGGTTAAACGCAGTGTGAAAAGCCCCTTTGAGTTCCTGATACTGGATTGTTACATCCTAAAACTTGCTTCTCTAATCTTAACATGATTTTCTTTAGAGTGCGACCATGTCAAAGATGTCCAAGTTTGAGATTGAGCTGCCAGCCGTTCCCAAACCAGCCAAGCTCAGCCTCTCTGAACGTGACATCGCTGTGGCCACAATGTGTGTATGAGCACTTGAGCCAACAAATGACATGTTGGATTATGAAATAAAATGCACTAATGCATGAAAAAGCAACTGTGAAGCCCGGTAGTCACACTCTTTCTCTCAACTGTAGTTACGATCAGCTGTATGTGATGTACCTGAAGCATCACTCCAGAACCACTAACAGTCCTGGAGCAGAGGTGGTCCTCTATCATCTGCCCAGGTCACAAAGAGCTAAACGATATTACTGGCCATACAATTCTTGTATGTTCAATGTTCAGATCTGTATTGAAGCATTTTTGTTTTTCTAACCTGTTCCTGCTTGGTTTTAATTGTAGAGAAGGCACCTGTAAGAAGACTCATATGCTCAAACTAAACACCACGGGCAAGTTTGCACTGAACGTGGTGGATAATCTAGTTGTGGTGCACCATCAGAGCTCACAGGTGAGTTTGACAAGTGCTCAAACTTGAATCAGATGATATTAAAGTGCCCCATTATGCTTTTTCTGACAGTGTGTAATATAGCTGTTTGTGAATGTAAAAGGTCTGCAAAGTTTCATAGATCAAAGTGCAGATAAATGCAGTTATTGTCTCCCAAAAGAAAGAACCGATTCTGAACTGCCTAAACGTGTCGTCAGTAGGGCTGTCACTTTTGTGAAAAAATCCCGTTCGATTTTTGAGACATAAGTTTTCATTGAATCGATTGTAAAATCGATTTTCCATGTCTAAAGACGTTTCCATCTTCATCACCAAAAACAGGCAAATCCATGGACACCTAACAGGCATTAGGACGAGTGTAAAGAGGGCGCTTGAGACGCGCAAGTCAGCAATATTTCTGATGATTTATTGGCGTGAAGTTTCGTGCACAATGACAAACAGGAGCGCAGCATTCAGAGATTGAAATGAACACCCTCCAACTCGCCAAATGCGGGTAAAAATGAACTTTGGCGGGAAACGCTGTCAAATCACGAGCCAATCTGGCGTATTTCTATGTTTACTCACTTTCTTTGCTGTGGAAGTTCGTGTAAGCCAAATCTGCGCAAATACGCAACTCGTGAGTCCTCATGATATATTAAATACAGCGTATTGAGCAGAATCTGCGCATTTCTGGCTTACTTGAACACACACGTCACTACGCAACAAATAACGGCGCCCTTGTTCACTTGCATTGAAGTAATAGCGAATATTAAAAAGCATTTGGTTAACAGAAAAGACATTGTTATTTTCCGCCATCCTACATGTTCTGTGTGCTGTATTGATCGGTCCACCTAAAACACATTTTTGGTTAAAAAAAAAAAAAAAAAAAAAAGGCCGTTAAAATCGATTCCCTATTTTCGTTTTCGATACTTGTGTTGGTTGGTCCGATCGATTGTGCAATCGATTTTCGAACGTAAAGTGACAGCCCTAGTCGTCAGTAATTCCGGTCTTACTTTCTGCACGAACCTACGTAGGTTTGTAACAAATTTGCATAATGCCTACCTATGGTCTTCATTGGCTGCCAATGAACAATGTCTGCTTTGAGCCTCAAACACTGTAGTTGTTGGTTTAGAGAGACTGAATTTAGACACTGAGAAAACCGGTAATGCTGCAGTGTATATTATGAGAAAATTAAAGTGTATTTTTACCTTGGATGCATGTTGTAGGAGACTCCAAAACAAAATTAGGAACCTTTCAAAAAAAACATAATAATTGGGGCACTTTAACTCATTTTACTGTGTACACAATGAACTTGTCACTAACAATGTGCTTTGCTTTGCTAGTCCTCTGGTATTCACATTATTCTCCTAGCATTTTATATTTCTAAAAAATATTAGGGTTGCACTGATATAAAAATGATGGTCAAGATCAATAAAACAATATTGACATTTTAAATGAAAACAATTAAATAATTAAATCTTTAAATTATTCAAGTGAATTTATGGATATTGGAAATGGGTACTCATTTTAAGATTTGCTGAAGATTACATTTAACAGTGCTAATCTATTATTAGTGTTTTTAAAGATTAACTATAAGTGAGTGCTCGATGAGCTGGTCTGCTCTGTACCTTGTTTGTAATGCTCGTCTTTTTGCATTTCAGACTTCACTCATTTATGACATAAAATTAAGGGAATTAGACGGTAATGTAAATGTGCATCAGCCTGTGCTTCCTGCGCGATCCATCAACCCCTTCAAGATCCCTCTCACAGGTGAGGAGAGTTTCAGCAAGACACTTAATTCATTTTCAAAGCGACACCTCACTTTCAGTGATTAACTATATCACTATTCCAAGCTTTACCTAATTGGTTTCTTCTCTGAAAGTGTAAAGAAGATCATTTCTCTTTCCACACCCTTACAGGACCTGCGGCCGCTCCAAGTCAGGCCCCTGTGCCCTGCGAACTTTGTATCCTTGTGGACGAACTGTAAACTGAAACTGAAATGCACAGTACCATATTTATCCTCTCAAATTTTTCCTTAACGTTCAAGATTCATCTTCCTGGAGTGTTTTTCAACCAGATATCATCATCAGTGCTAGCGAAGGTACTTTACTAAACAATACACAAATCAAATCAAAACTATGTTGTGATTGAGAGTAATGATATGTTCTCTGTGCGTCAGGATATCTGTGGTACCTCCAGGTGAAGCTCCAGCCCACGCTGAATCTCCTGCAGGATAAAGGCAAACTCATGGACTTCCTGTTGCGGAGGCGAGACTGCAAAATGGTCATCTTGTCTGTATGCTCACAAAGTAAGCATCAGGCCACTGTAGTAAAAATACCTCATAATAGTTATTTTAGAATAAAAGTTCCCTTATTATGCTGTGTTAAAGGTTCCTAATTTTGTTTTGGAGGTCTCCTAATAGGAATAATTATTTCCTCATAATATACATTGCAGCATCAGCTCTTTTCTCAGTGTCTGAAACGGATCGATAAAGGATTCAGTCTCTCTAAACCCCTCCTTTCCACGAGCCAACTCTGCTCTGATTGGTCAGATGGCACAGTCTGTTGTGATTGGTCGACCGCTTATAGTACGTGTCGGAAACTAAATCCCCATTACTATATCTGAATTTCAGCTCTTTATCTTCCTCAGCACTTGATACACAGTGATACGAACATGGTTTTGGTTTTATCATATAAGTCTCATTCTTTGGAAGTGCAGCAAAGTGGATTTCACAGAGCAGAAAACAGTGTCTTCTCGACATGGTGAGGTGACAACACAAACCAAACTCTTCCAGGCCTCAGCTACAACTACAGTGTTTGAGGGCGTGTCTTTGTTTGCGAGGCAGCCAATGAAAAACATCTGCTGGCATTATGCAAATTTGCTACAAACCTAAGTTGGTTTAGCAGGAAGTAAAACTGACGGCTCGTTTCAGGCAGTTCAGAATTGGTTCTTTAAACTCCTTTTATTGTGCATTTTGAAACTTCACAGACCTTTACATTCACAAGCAGCTAAATTACTCACTACATGAAAGGTAATATCCGAAAAGGCATAATAGGGGCACTTTAACCAACTTTGAATTTACTATAACAAAATGAGCAAATATTTTGGTTTTGAACCTAATATGCATCTTAAAAATCAATGCATAGCAAGAGTGATAGAAATCTAAACTGCATAATTGTTGCAGTTATCTCAGATCATTTCTGTTAGATCGATTAACCAATAATCGCGACAGGGCAGGCCCAGTGACAGTAAATGTTAGATAATATTTAATAAATGCATGTCTTGGTCTTCAGTGCTTATAGGTGGCGATAAAGGGAACCTTTCTGTGGTGGCTACAGTGTTTGATAAACTCAACCAAGTGTACAAAGATTACCTGGACGCAGAGCAAGCGTACACTGCGGTCAGTATATTCCATGTATGTATGTGTGACTGGGGTGTTCATAGAAAATGTAATTTTTGTAAAACTGGCCTGTTTTTTCTCTCTCCTCAGGCTATGGAATCAGGGCCCAGCCGCTCCAGCACTTCTTATAAAAGGCCTGTCCGGACACAGGCGGTGATAGACCAGTCAGACATGTACACACACGTGCTGTCGGACTTCACCGAGAAGAAGGTAAACGAGGATTGTAATTCGTTTCAGAAGGCAATTGTGTGCACTTTTTCCTTAGTTCTGTAGGTCTCAATAAATCTGTCTAAAGGAAAGCTTATGTTGTGATATTTCTTGTTCTAATGCTCTAAATTGTCTTCTTTGAACAGGACGCGAAGCATAAATTCATCATTGCTGTTCTCATGGAGTACATTCGCTCCCTTAACCAGTTTCAAATCCCCGTTCAGGTATAAACAACACAATGAGGTCTTTAAGAAATCACTTTTTTACCTTGTAATATCTCATACCTACAAACCAATTCAGAGTACAAGCTATAAATCTTGAATGGATCTGTTACATGTAAACATTGCTAAACATTAATCGTAGCTAGTAGTTTCATACAGTTTGTTGGTATGTCACTCGGAACCATTCATTTCATTTATAAGCTCTGGTATAACTCTGGTTCACCTTAAACTGACCCTCAGGTGTTTGTTGGATGTTTTGCTAGGCGTTGCAGTTGCTTAGACACATTCTGCCTTGAGCTTCTTCAGCAACTGATAATAATCTTTGTGGCCTCCAGCGTTCCGCTTAACCCTTCAACATCTTTTATATTGGGGGCGTTCCATTAATAAACTATGCCTTTGAACAAAATACGTTCGACTATTACTGTCATTTGGAGAAACTTCACATTTAGAGTCAGACACAAACCGCAGGTTCAGCCCTATTGGAACAAATTGGGTTTCGGTGCAATAATTGAACATAGGCTTTAAACTTTTTTTTATGAGCATATAGACTTCATTTGTAGGACAGTGGAGGGAGAAAAAAAGTTGTGGGAGAGAGAGGCTTTACTATTACTAACAGTTTTTGTTCATTAAAATAAAGCTAAAATATAAGTATTAGATGAAAAACTTACATGAACATTAGAAAAGTATCAACTAAATAAAACAAGTTTAAGTACTAAAATTACTCAAAAATAAAATAAATAAAAAGCTAAATAGAAATGTAACTTAATGACAAAAGCACATTATTAAAACTTAACTTAATTTAAAGTGAAAATGTAAAAATAAAAGCTAATACAAAATAAGAAATACTAGTAGTATATAAATAATACTCAAATAAACACGGTTCACTTTCCTTAATGCATTACATGTGAGCATTTATATTTTGACCATTAATATTGTGTTTTTAATTCAAAATAATATAGTATAATAAGGCTTAGAATTCATATTTCAAAGCTTTTAAAATGACTAAGCTTGATTTGTTTTTATCTAGTTGGGTTGGATATGTTTGATTTTGTCAATTCGAACTGAATCTGTTCAACTTGTGAAATTTTGCCTGAATTTAATCTTAAATTTGCGTTATTTAGTAAAGAATCATAATTGAACCAAATTTGCCTAGTTGTCACAGCAAGATTTGAGTGTGTCGTGTGTGTAATATACAGTGACTCTTTCTTTATCTTTCGTTTCCAGCACTATTTGTATGAGCTGGTTATCAAAACTCTGGTCCAGCACAATCTTTTCTACATGCTGCACCAGTTTCTCCAGTATCACGTCCTGAGCGACTCCAAACCACTGGTGAAGTTTCCATGTTCTAAACTCAATGTCTTAAATTAGTACATTACACTCTATGAGTCTATATGCTTCAATAATGGCTTCTTATTGATGTTGCTGGCTCACGGTTTCTGCTTTTCTAGGCCTGTCTGCTGCTGTCTCTGGAGAGCACGTATCCTCCTGCTCACCAGCTTTCTCTGGACATGCTCAAGGTACGGAAACCGCTTTATACTCGCATGCATGTTCAGTTTAGATGATTTAAAGTGTAAGTTTGCTGAACTGGTTCCGGAACAGCAGTTTCTTTTAGTTTTCCCCTCTCTTTGGCCTAAAACACTGTTCGCGGTCATCCAGTTTGAAATAGATACTACAAACATGAAGGTTTTCCAGATTTCCATCACAGTGTTCTCTCCATATTTATGATTCTTTGCTGTCTTTAGCCACTGCCTACAATGCGCTGGATCCTACGGAGCCCCTAAAAGGACATGGTGAAGGAAAAAAAATGAGTTGTATTTTAGCAATGCTTTTGCGTTCTCTTTCAAATGTTTTGCGTTCCCACAAGAAACTTTGCATTCGCTCGCAAAATGTTAGCGTTCCCCCCCAGAGAGTTTGGGAGGGTTTTACATTGTTTTACAGAGTTTAGAGAGTTGACATTATTTTTCACTCCATCTCATATTTTTTTCCACCAGCATGTCCCTCTAGGATCCTTCACTGGAAACCAAAAGTAACTCACTCCCCCTAAACGTTTTCTCTTTGAATTCTTGCTCCTGGGAACAATATAAGTCAACACCATTGTGACTAAAAGTTTGCTGAGAGGTATTTCCTACTAAAGCAAGGCGGTATTAGAGTATCATAGCAGACTGGTGAGAGTGGCCTCAGACGGCAACATGCCCAGTGCATTATGGGTGTTGAAGTTTTCCTATCTATTTGGCAAAAGGCAAGACAACAGGCCATTTTCTCTGTTTTCTGTGGTCAGGTAGCACTGATTTCAATTTTGTTCCACCTTTCTACTGCATAGACAGCCAAGTTTTATTGAAAGCCCATTTAGCCAGCGGTGAATCAAGCTTCATTTTGCCTTTCTCTGAGTGATTGACGTGTGTTTTTGTGTGTATCACAGAGGCTGTCCACCGCTAATGATGAGATTGTGGAGGTTCTTCTGTCCAAGCAGCAGGTTTTAGCCGCTCTGCGCTTCGTTCGAAGCGTCGGTGGCCACGACAACGTCTCCGCTCGGAAGTTTCTGGACGCTGCACGGCAAACCAACAACACAATGTTGTTCTACACCATCTTCCGCTTCTTCGAGCAGAGGAATATGCGATTACGTGGTAATCCTGGTTTTAACCAAGGTAGGTGGTTTTGATGAATGATTGATGCGTGCTCACGAAATGGGGCTAAGCATCGAAATCCTTCATTCACATCATGATTAGAGCAGAAATATCAGCACATGATTGGAATTAATTTGACATCATCTTCCTGTTCCAGGAGAGCACTGTGAGGAGCACGTTGTCTTCTTCAAGGAAACGTTTGGGGAGAACGCTTTGATGAAACAAGCCACGGCGTGAAGGACCACGGTAACAGCTAAAACGATGGTTTAACCAGAAGGAATCTATTCCATTGAGTAGCAAAATGAAAACCAACTGTATGAAGCTCATACAAACACTAGAGCGAGTCCAGTGTTAAAAGAGACGCTTAACTGTCTTTTCTATGCATGTTTGCCATAAAGTACAGATGGGTTTAGGAGGATAACGCAGTAACAGATTGGTTTCAATGGAGAATTACTAAAATCGCCATTGTTGCAAGAGTCAACTTAATATGATCTGTATGTGAAGCTTGATCATGTATATAATTGAAAAAGAAATGTCTAGCTTTTACAGTATAATAAATATATGTTAATAGTGACTATTTGTTCATTTTATTTGCGTTGTGAGATTTTACTGGTCAATCGATTGTTTTAGGTTTAACATTTTTCCCATGATGACAATCTACGGAAGTGATTCAACCCTACCACCCACAGATCTTTGGGATTTGTAATGAGTATCTTATCTGCCCTACCTGTGAGTTGCCATTGCATTCTGTCTACACAGACTTCCTCGGGCAATCATACATTATCAGTGTTTTAATGCACTTAAAAAAACTGAATTGAGCCCACATCACAAGACTTTATTATCACATTTATACACAATTTAATAACACTGCAATGTAACAAATGGTGTCCATACAGATTTAAACCACATGTTGATGTTGCTAAATTTCTAAAACAACTGACATTCACAGGTGCATAATGAAGATTGTGCTACATGAAGTATGTTTACATACTAAAATTATGCAGATGTTTTTGTGGGATCTCGCAGCGGATGCAGGTTTGAAGTTGAATCGGTTTCACAGTCAAAGTTGCATTAAAGGGATAGTTCACTTTGAAATAAATGTTTGATATGTTTTAGCTTACCTCAAGGGCATCCAAGATGTAGGTGTCTTTGTTTCCGCAGTAGTTTCAATTTTGATATTTTTAGGTCAAACCGTTCTTGTCTGTCAGTCATATAATGCAGGTCTATGGTCACCACCTCAAAGAGCATGCACAGAGAAGTCCAAATTAAACATGATTTAATGACTCGTAAATGTAAGAACACATTGATGGCCTAAGACACGAAACGAGCGGTTTGTGTGAGAAAACGAACAGTATTTATATCGTTTTTACCTCTAGTAAACACAGCCACGTCCAAGTGATCTGAGGCCGCGGGCGCTTCGGTCTGCGCAAGCGCCGGAAGTGATCTCTCGCGCGTGTACGTCACTCATACAATTGTTTTATTTTTTTATCTTTTTAATTGTTTTCTTTTACGACGGTTTAAACATCCCGGATAAGTGCAAATTAGTACCATTTTAATTAGCCGTCTTACCTACAATCTCTGTTCTGTGTAAACAATGAGTGACGTACACGCGCGAGAGATCACTTCCGGCGCTTTCCGGAAAAGACCGAAGCGCCCGCGCCCTCAGATCACTTGGACGTGGATGTGGTTACAAGAGGTAAAAACGATATAAATACTGTTCGTTTTCTCACACAACCCGCTCGTTTCGTGTCTTAGGCCATCAATGTGTACTTACATTTACGAGTCATTAAATCATGTTTAATTTGGACTTCTCTGTGCATGCTCTTTGAGGAAGTTACCATAGACCTGCATTATATGACTGACAGACAAGAACGGTTTGACCTAAAAATATCAAAATTGAAACTACTGCGGAAACAAAGACACCTACATCTTGGATGCCCTTGAGGTAAGCTAAAACATATAAAAAATTAATTTCAAAGTGAACTATCCCTTTAAGACTTCGGTTTTCGATGGTCCACTTTAGACATTCTACTAAGTAACTTTGCAACTACATGTCAACTAGCAGTCATTAGAGTATTCGTAGACTGTCTGCTTAATATCTGATAACACTTTATTTTGATGCTCCCCAACAGACATTCTACTAACTATTAGCAACTTTGCAACTACATGTCAACTTATTCGACTAACCCTAAAAATCTCCTACTCTAATTAGAGTTAGTTCACGACGTAGTTGCAAAGTAGTAGAATGTCTAAAGTAGACTATCAAAAAAAAAGTGTAAGAGAAAATCTTTTTGAATTTATTCAGCGTTTTCTGAACATTTCCTGCCATTTAAAATGTAGTGGGTGTTTCCAACAAATCGGAAGCTTGTAAGTAAAGCAAATTGTAAGTAAAGCTTAATTCAATATTGATGGAACCCTGCAGAGTTAAAATATCATAATGGCCTGTTTTTTCCCCTAAAATGTAAAAGTAGATTGTCTGATAAGTGCACACTTGTGAGTGTGTCACAGGGGACAGAAAACAAGCAGTCTGATTTGTTAACTCAGCTGTTTAAAGCAGAATGAAAAACATCAAAAAGCCTTTTAAGCCCTTCAGCATTTCTTTCAATTAATATAAAGTGCTTTTCTCTAAGGCCCGGTTGTTAAATTATTAAAAACCAAATGTAGATGGTCAGTTGAAAAATTAATTTGAGAGTCCATTAAGTACAGTCCAGGGTTCAAGGGTCCTTAATTGAGAGGGTAGCATTTATGTACATATGCATCGTGTCTGTGAATTTTACTTGTAGACATAATTACATACTTCTTAACTGTTCAAAGCACATGTTATATTTACAAGCTTTTCTGTTGTTACTCAAGACAGTTATGGTACATCAGAGGGATTTTCACACTGCGCTTGAATATTTCAAAGGATTATGAATATTTGTATTGTTTCAGAAGTCAACATGATGGCCAAAATGATGTTCACACTATTCATTCCTCACATTATTGTGTACAAATCATTTGTGCAGTTTATTCTAAATAAAAACACGCCTGTTTTAGTAATCTTTCATCAAAATTTGACCAAATTTGCTCTGCCTCTAAAACAACTTTCCTTTTCAGCCGACATCTGACAAACCTTTTCCTTTCCAGTCATCAAGAGATCCTCCTTTCCAACCTTCAGACTCAATTCTGGTATGTAACGCCCACTTTTCACAATCAACCAATTAATGACAGATATAATGAGTTTCTGCCCCACATTTTTGCTTGTTTAATATCCTGTGTTATTCAAGATTTACACTACCATTCAAAAGTTTGGGGTCGGTAAGATTTTTTTTCTCTTCTGCTCACCAAGGTTGCATTTATCTGATCAAAAATACAGTCAAAATTGTGAAATAAATATTATTACAATTTAAAATAAATGTCTATTTATATATATTAAAACATTACATTTTTATATACTAATTACTCCAGTCTTCAGTGTCACATGAAATCATTCTACCGTAATATGCTGATTTGCTGCTTAAGAAACATTTCCTATTATTATCAATGTTGAAAACAGTTGTTCTGCTTAATATTGTTGAGGAAACTGATACATTATTTGCTTAAGATTCTTTAATGAATTTGAATGGTAAAAAAAAACAGCATTTACTTAAAACATTTTACTGTCACATTTGATCAATTTAATGTTTTTAATTATCTTAAAAAATAATTTCTTAAAAAAATAATCGTACTGACCCCACACTTTTGAACGATAGTGTATATCTCGGAAGTAAAATGAGGGGTTGTGAGCACCATTTCATGTTCATTTACTTTTTTTTTTAAGTGACAGCAATTAAAACCGGTCGTGTGCTTTTCACATTCTCAACTTGTCCAAACCATGTTATTTAGCTAGTAAATATGCACTTAATAATGTTACTAATTACTAAATCACATTAAAAATGACAACAGTTTAACAATATGAAGTGTTAAAAGCTGATTTGGGTTCAATAAATTAAGTTATGCTACATCAGACGACAACATTCATCAAAAGCATCAATTAGAGAAATACTGAAATGTGCTCTAGCTGGACATTCAACACATTACTCACAGCTTAATGTCTCATTCATACTTCCTTTCGAGAAGTAGTTCATTACGGCAGTCGCCTTCAAGCATTTCCGGACGTCCTCACAGTGGCGTGACTCGCTGATTTTCTTAAAGTAGCTGCAATACTAACACATGTTGTGTGTGACTCCAAGAAGTTCAAGCAGTGCAATTCATCTTTTCGTCCCGTTTATCTAACGTACGTGAGACTGCATGGCTTTGCTAAGTCCCAGGTAGTGTAAGTTCTCCGTTGCAGGAAGGAAAGGGACGTCGCTGGTGGAAGAGGGTAGGAAGTTCTGCTGGTAGTCGGGGTTATCGAGACTGGCACACGGGGACCGTGGTAGAGTAGAGCAGGACGTGTTCAGGTACTCCGGACCCTCGGGTTTACAGCCGTAAGTGTCTATATATCCGTTTTCTGTCTGTCCACGGGCCGGACCCTCATAGTATGGGTTGATCATTTTGCTTGCTTTAGTCACGTCCTGGTTCATGTACTCTGTGGGAAAGAGAAGATAAAATGTGCCGATGAAGCAACAATATTAATTGCACATAAAGGCAAAAATAAAATTATAAGATGAGAACTTTAATTGCCTAATATATTGGACGTTGACATAAAGAATATTTGGTAAGTTGGCATGGAGTGTAACCATCTATACATCGAAGTATTCTTATTGTTAACAACTATTAAATTTGTCTGTAACAGAAAGTATCAAATATAGAAATTAGGGACTTTTTTTTAATTAAACTGAAAATTAGAAATATTGCCTTGGCATCAACTGAAAAGTTGAAGTAATAAAATTACTAAAATGCAATTTTTTTTATATTTATATATAACTTTAAAAAAAAAAGCCCAAAATAAATTAAATAAAAACTTAAAATATAATTCAAAATATTAATAAATACTATAATATAATTTTTATATATACAGTAGCCTATATATATATATGTGTGTGAGTGTATAAAACTAATACAACACTTATCTATATTCCCTGAAGTAACATAAGAGTAATTCAACATAATACCTGACAGAATAAGGTCTTTATGCGTGGGGTCCGTAATGTAGCGTAACATCGCACCATTCATATAGTTGTCCTTAAAACAAATACACAAAATATGAATGAATCATCTTGCATCATGTCTAATGAAGGGTAATTGCCTTATATAGAAACTGATGCATTGTCCAGGAGTAAGACAGAGATACTGACGGTTGAATTGTGATACTCAGACACTGGTGGTTGCGACTGGTTGAAGAATCTTTTGTTGGGCAGCAGGTATTCCTCCGCATCCACCACACCATCCATATCCTCAGTGCTGATCCACGACCTGAAGAACTTGGAATCCGTCGGGCTGGGCTGGTATGTGGGATCATCTCCCTGGGTGACATGTCAATTAATTTCTTTCTTTCTTATGTGAATTAATTTTTTTAATATTTAAACTTAAAATTCAGTTCAAATATATTTTAAATATAAAAAATATAAATTATTGAGAAAAAAAAACAATAATTGGCAAACACTGGTTAATAAAACTTTCTTATTTGAATAAATTTTAATATATTTAAACTTATAATTAATAGTTAAACAAATAGTTTAAATAAATAATCGTAATTATTGGGAAAAAATAATTGGCTAAAATTGGTTAATAAGACATTAATGGAAATTCATTTAATATATATTTAAACTTTTCAAATTTGGTTCAAAAGTATCATAAATATTTTAAATCATTTATCATAATTATTGAAAATATAATAATAAAAGTCAATAAAACATGTATTGCTGTTTTTTTCAGAAACTGTATATTACTGTTCACAATACATTAAATAAAAAGTAGAAAACCTATTACCGGTAAATAAATTTAATTTTAATATAATTTTCTTGCATTTTTATCTTTTGTACATTTTGTGCCTTTGCAAAAATAGTCAGTAAAATATGATTTTATTTTTATGTTTCATTCCCAGAAGGAAAGCACAGATCTTTTTGTGAAAACTACCTGAACGACAAGATAGCGAGGTGGATCTCGGGCCATTTTGGAAAACTCTGCCACAAGTTCGCGGAAGGGAGGTCTGCTGTCAGCGTCAATCATCCAACCTAGATGTAGATATAAATGCATGTTCTTTCAGGTCAACTGACCTTCAAATGCTGTTACATACAAATCATGTTCATCTGAAATGTTAATATTTGGGTTAATTTCAATAGTCCACTTTCAACATTACACTAACTATAAGTAACTTTGAAACTACATGTCAACTGACTCTCATTAGAGTATCAATAGACTGTTAGGATTAGTAGAATACGTTGACATGTAGTTGCAAAGTTACTTATAGAATGTCTAAAGTGGACCATCGAAATAAGGTGTTACCTATATTTGTAATGTCTATGACAGGATTTTTCTATACTTGTATTTATAGCCACATTATGACATTTTGCATGATGATTTTCTGTTCCTCTCAGTTGCAACATTAGCACTCACATTTGACCATGATCATATACACGTCTATAGTGCAGATGGACGGCTGTGGTAAACGCTCTCCCTTCTCCAGAATATCTGCAATCTCTCTGGCTGGGATTCCATCGTACGGTTTGGATCCAAATGTCATTAACTCCCAGACAGTAACCCCTGAAGAGAACAGGTAAATATATCAATAACCACTTTACAATACAGTTGAATTTGTTAATGCATTGGACATTATTAATGTTTTTAACAATGTTTATAAATCTAGGTTAACGCTACTTTATAACTATACTATGTTTATTGCTAATTCATATTCATTTATAATACACTAACTACTGAATTGTTCATCTAGACAACGTGTATTATGTAGAAATTAACATTTACAGCATTTATTAATCTTGTTGAACGTAGTGTAGTCCATGATAGCTAATGCATTAGCTATTTGCAAAGTGTTACCAAAAACACCACCGTTTTAGTGGCTATCGGGTAAAAACTGAATTAGCATTAATATTTGAATTGTGGAACCGCTGTATGTTGACTTTTGCATTGATTTAAACCATTAGCCCATGATCTATGGAAGCTTGTTTCTCCCACAGAATAAAAAAAGACTTTTTATCTCACAATTCTGACTTGAGAATAATAATGAATGCAGTTCGTATTGGATAATATGTAGTGATAAGCACGTACCGTAACTCCAAACATCACTTTGATAAGTGTAAGTCCAGTGACGAATCGACTCAAGAGCCATCCACTTTATAGGCACCTAAAACATTTAGCAAAGGCAGCTAAATTAATACTTTCTTGTAAATATCATTAAATATATACACATGGAAATGCATTTGAGTTTATATGTTTTCCAGTTGATGAATTGAATCAGTATTGTTTTCCCGCTGTGAATCAGTGGATTGTTCATGCATGACCTACTTTCCCTCCATCAGCGTGGTATTCCTTCTCATCTGAACCCAGGAGTCTGGCCAGGCCAAAATCAGTGATCTTCACATGGTTAGGAGTCTTCACCAGCACATTCCTGGCCGCTAAATCACGATGGACCAGGTGACGTTCCTCCAAATAGGTCATTCCCTGTTGAGAAGGGTCAACATGTTTTTGAAATTCCAAAGATGTCAGTCAATGCCGTGTGCGTCCAATCAGCTGATTCCCAGACACTCGGCACTCTCAGAATCACTAGTTTGCTGTTTTCAAGAGGAAATGCGGTGAATTTATTTATGAGAGTGTTGTGAGCGCAGGACCTTTTAGTTAGTTTATTTATTTATACATAATTTTCAACACATCAATATTTATTTATGCATGTGGTATATGTACATGGTTTATGCAATATTTATACACTATTGTTTTTGTTTGAGGTCAGTAAAACATTTTTTTAAAAATAAATAAACACTTTTATTCAGCAAGGATGCATTAAATGATCAAACGTGACGGTAAATACATTTATCGTGTAAATAGAGATTTGTATATCACACAATTGCTGTTCTTTTGAACTTTATACTCCCCAAAGAATCCTGAAAAAAGTATCACAGTTTCTACAAAATTATTAAGCAGCACAACATTGATAGTAATCAGAAATGTTTCTTGAGCAGAATTTTTATTTGGAGTTATTTTCTCGACTTTAAATAACTATTTCACACAAATATATTTCTATCCTGGTTAAATTGAATAGTTGTTACATTAGCAATTGCAGTCAAATATTTCTGTATATTGAGGGTAAACGGTTGACATACAGTAGGACACACACAACTTCGAACTCACCTTGGCGATCTGCACGCACCAGTTTAACAGAGTTTGTGAGCCGATTTTATCCTTATTCTCCCGTACGTAATCCAGCAGGCACCCGAAAGGCATAATCTGGGTTATGAGCTGGACGTTGGACGTGAGGCATATTCCCAACAGACGACACACGTGAGGATGATCCACACCGGCCATCACATATGCCTCCTGAAACATCAAAACACAAGTTTTAAATGCAAGGTGATTATTAGGGACAATTGTTAATCATTAGTAAACATGGCACGATACCCACATCCAAGATCTCTTTGTTGGCTTTTGGAGATGCGACCTCTCTCAAAACTTTGATAGCAACAGGAATTTTCACACCCTCACCCTCTGGAATCCACAATCCCTAGGAGGAAAAACATGTAAGACTTTGGAAATATTTCTTATAACTTCCATGTTGACTGAGCATTTTTTAAGTTCTCAGCTTCTGTCATTTAAAACAGGAAATTCAAGATAAAATATAGTGTGTTTGTGAATATGGTCCATTTTGATGTCCTGTTGACTTTAAATGTTTCAGATACACATCTAATACATCAAAGCTTTATTAGGCCTGATGATTTACTGGAGTGTGTTTTTTATTCATGTACCTTAAAGACTGTGCCAAATGCTCCAGACCCGAGGACTTTTATTTTCTTCAGTTCAGTTTCCTTTAGGATGCGAAGGAGAGCCTGGTTGGGAGCTTCACCACTGGGAGTCAACGGTTCCACCAACTGCAGATTCATGTAAATATAGTTAGATTGGGGTTTCATTCAAAGAGTTTAATCTGTTATACACTTTTGGGGCTTGCCTCTCTCTCCTGAAGGAGGCGCCGTAGAGTTCTCTTTCGCCGGATGTGTCGTCGGCGGAAGATGACGAAGATGAAAAGGATGAGGACCATAATCATCAGCATGACTCCGACAATGCCAGCCGCCACTACAGGCATGTGAGAGCTAGAGAGAGCATATCAGATAATTTACCTTCATAAACACATTTAACTCTCTGGAGACCAAAAACGCACGGGTGCGTGATTTTTTTCACATAGCAGAAAAATAGACTTAAACTACTCCATCATTTCTGGTCATACAGTGTTAAGAAATATTAAAAAATAAACTGTTAAATGTCTACTTTTTTATGTGCCCACCTACAATCGAAATAAAATATTGTGCTTTTGTAAAATAAAAAGGAAAATAAAACAAAAAATCTGCCTCTCCGTGTCCGTGAACTTTTTTTCTGGAGCACGTCTCTAAACTTAAACAAAACTCAGCGAATACTATTCACCCAGACATGAGCAATATATGTTTATGATCATTTAAGTTTGTACTTTTAAATTATCTAATTTAAAACTAAAATAAATATTCTCTGTTTATGTAATCTATAGAGCGCGCGCTATTCAAACGCTAATGATCTGAAGCAACACATTGAGACGTGTAAAAACCCATATAAACTCTGTAAACACACTATATTTAGTCAGATTAATGTACTGTCGTCTTGCGTGGCTGTGAGGAATAATCCTGGGACATTTACCTACCTCAGAACAAGTGCTGGTTTATTTTCACTTCGAGGAGCGAGCTGAACTGTAAGTGTTTTATTCTTGTGCTTTGTTCTAATCGTGATATATAATAACGATTAGTGTCTGTAAACGCAAAAATAGCCTACTGTTTGAATTTGAATCATGTTTCTGTGTGTGTGTGTGTGTGGATAGATTATAAAGTTTTAACTCTAAAATAGACATCAAATAAGCTTTTGTTAGCAGTTTCTGCTCATATGTTAAATATATAGTATGTTTTGTCAATAAACTAATCAACTAAGATGTTATAGGCTAGTGTTTGTTCCAATGCAAGCTATATCAAAATAATGAATCCTTAACTTTGAAATATGTATGATAAAATGTATTGGCCTACTAAGACATTTATGGAAAAAGACAATTTTCTTTTCAAGATGTTTCCAACTCTAACTTTGAACCAATTCTGTAGAATGGCCCATATAACCTATTTGAACAGGATTTGTTTCCAGGTATGACTAAAAATGTGCTTTTGACTTTCATTTATATTTTGATTTTATATATATATATATATTAGGGCTGTCAGTTAAATGCGTTATTAACGGCGTTAACGCAAACCCATTTTAACTGCGTTTTTTTTTATCGCGCGATTAACGGTCTTTTTGGCCTAGCAAACTTTGTCGTTTTTTTCACATGCTTTTGCAACAGGACGCAGCATGCGCGGCGCTGCGCTATGAAACCCATTCATTTCAATGGCTTGCTCCACGCGAGGACGTTTTGTTGCTTCGTCGACCAAAGCGCAGGCAGATCTAGCTAGACCGGAAACAAAACAACAGGCACGCCGCACACACTTGTTTGGGCTTGCAAGCCGGCCAAATAGTTGGTTAACGTTAAGTTTTGAGTGGATGACGAGCGCGAGACGGCGAAATGGATGCCAATAAGATTCTGAATGGAAAGTTGACTTTTAAAAAGTTGCCAAATGGTTCCATTTACAAGACCAAAGTGATCTGTGTGTTTTGTCGTTGTGAACTGAGCTATCACCATCGCAGTACGTCCAGTCTGAAATACCACTTGATGGCCAAGCACACACACACACACAGCTGATGCGAATTCTCCGCCCCCTCGTCAATATCAGGACCTCGTCAGTATTTCTTTCACCCTTTTATTGATGGACAGTGTTACATTGTGTGAGAGATTATTTGCTCCAGGTGAGAATGTTTGTGTGAAATTGAACACAGCATATGCCAATGTTGTTTTCAATAAAAAACATTTGCACAAAGCAAGCCAATCCACTTTTCCATGTTGATAAGAGCATTAAAATGAGAACAAAATAATGGGACAAAAAGAAATCAAGAGACATTTAGAATAGATAAAAATGTGCGATTAATTGCGATTAATCGCGAGTTAACAGCACTAATATATATATATGTATGTGTGTGTGTGTGTATATTGTCCTTGCATTCTTTCTTGTGTGACACACCTGAATGAAAGGCTCATTATTATGCGGGTCTTTGTCTTCTCAACCACCTAATTATTCACAATGGGGTTGGGCCGCACGCCCATTCGCATATTGCCTTGGATAACACAATTTTTTTTTCACAATTTAAAAGAATCTATTGTGTTATGTGAATGATTAGACAGGATGATTTTCAGATCATTTTGAAGCAAAAACTCTAGGCCACAACTTCCATTAGTCAAAAGTCTTGTGGACACATATTTAGTATGTGTTTTGTGGTTTTATTTCAGAAACTTAAATTTTTTGTTTTTTCAATAACCATGCATACACAATATTCTCTCAAAAATACAAACATGTACATACATGTTGCTCACATATTATGGTAGCCCTGTTTGTGCTAAATAGAGTGTAATTTCACCTGTGCCATTAATATGTTTATAAGCAACTGAAAAAAAGCACAAATGTCAGGGCATGTCAAAACATCTCAAGGACCCCAAAAACACCTTGGTCCCCAGAGGGTTAAAATGAATACTCTGAACTTAGTCAGCAAATGAAACCGCATTTGCGAACCCTTTTACTTGAAACTCTGATATTCAACAGGTAAAAACTTAATTTTACTCTTACTTTTACATATTTAGCATTTTACCTAATGACTTATGTAGTTTGTGTAGTCTAGTAACAACAACCCATAAACTACTATACCCTTTTGGTTCACAGCCTTCCAGTCCTGGTCCACTGCACCTATAATAACATAAACATTTTAAAATTAGTGGTAGTCTTTATTTTGTGACCCCATAATTGTATTGTATTTCTGCTTGTTTAAACCAACTGGATTCTGTTAACCATAAACCAAAATATAAATAATAATACTTACTTTGTAATGTAATAAAAATCTCAATGTTTGTGGAAACACTAGAATAATTATAATATACCAGTTGTGTAAAAATAATAATAATAATTGTTATTGGATAATAATGATTATAGTTATTCAGTAAGGATTATCTTGTTCCTACCCTTGCGTGCAGTTAGGATGGCATGGCTGACACTGTCCGGTTTTGTCTGGGTACGTCCACACAAGTCGGTTATTAAGGCCTTGCACACCTTGAGCACACTGTGTGACGCAGTGCGACCCATCTTTAAAGTGAGCACATTCAGTGCACTGATCGGCTCCCTAGAAAGACAGAAACAGAAAACAACATTCACATTCCAACACTTTCATAGGTCTGACCTCTTACCATTATTAGTTTACACACAGATTTGGTCATTTTCTGAGGAAAATGTGAGGGATGATTGTCTCGATGATAGATTTTTTTTGCCAGGCTGAAATTGCAAGTTTGATTTATCAGAAAAGTAATAGCACACCTCCCCTCAACAAGCCGTGTGATGTCACTGTTAGGTGTCACTGATGATTTACACCATCAAGATAGGGTTAGGGGTTTGCTCAGATCCCTTGTTTAGATCCCTAGGTAGTGTGAGCAAGCATCATTAATAATACAGTTTATATGGGGATTGAAAGATACATACGACATACCGGCCCAGAGCAGCTTGATGTCCCGTTCAGAATCTTGCATTTAGGGTCACATTCCAAACACACGTTCTCTGAGATGAACTCTCGGGGGTCTCTGTAGAAACATTGCATATAGAGTGCAACAGTCGGTAAGTAAAAAAAACAATACAAATACATTTTTAACAATAATTCATAAGTCTTTAAAGATAGACCTTTCACAAGTTCACAGTTCCATATAATCAGATTTTACTTTACAGAACCAAAGTAAAGGTTATGAATATTTGGCGTGCTGACGAGGTCGGAATTTGGCCCGAACCCAGAGTTTTCCCCCCTCCATCCCAGGTTGGGACAGGAATAGTTAAAAGTGAGGAGATGGGGTGTTGGAGGGATGCTCTAAAACTGTTGTGGAACAGAGGTAAGTCTGCTGTATATATACCTCTTATTGCGCTAACTGAGTTGATTCATTGAATGTGCTCCTCCAGTGTTCATTTGGTTAAGTATCTGAACGTGCTTCTCCTGAACTTTGTTAATATAACATCATACTGTGAGCTATGAGATTGTAAATCAATGGAATATGCTTTTGTTGAAGCCATTATTTAAACTTATTTTTAAATAATGATTAGCAGCTCAACTTGTGGTGAAAAACTATTTTACCCATGATGCTGTACAGAAAATTCCACCAAAGCAAGCAAATCGCACCAAAAGAGCTTGCAGAAAAAGGGAATTCCCATGCACCGCAGAAACGTACATAATCGTGCATAATATTTGTCTTGGTTCATGTTCTTATAATGCTTTAACAAATACTTTTATCAAATCCCTATGGAAAAATAAAAAGGAAAAAATACTTCCGGAACCAATTCTGCTGAAAAAGTTGGCGAGCACCAATGCACCAATGCACAATGCACCACGAAGGAACATGCAAACCCATACATCTGATATTATGCATATTAAATTTAATTTAACAATGAATAGACTTTCTACTTTTTTTTAATCATAAGAAAACAACTTATCAATAGTCAATATTTAATTCGTAAATGAGCAGCATTTGTGCAAAAAAACCTTAGGGAGATGTTAAATGGGCTAAATGTTGGACACCTACCCATCCAGCAGGTTGCAGTGACTGACACAGCGCTCGCCACGGCTTACATGCTGACAGGAGACGCACATGGACGGCCCCGGACCCCAACAGCCTTCCTCTCCACACATACTGTCACAGGTATTGTTCTGGTGCTCTGAAGAGCAAACAAGAGATTCTGTGACCTGACATGACTGAACCCCAAACTGCTTGCCGACTAATGAGTTGTGTAAAATTGAAATACAAAATATGTGAATACAGTCCCGCACCACAGGTGTGCATTGCTGCGTTGTTTCCAGTTCGTTTGTGTTGTTTCTCAGATCTGAACAGCTTTGGCCAGTAGCCGCCATCAACATAACAGAGTCGGCGGTTGTTTTTGACCACCACGTCGCCATCACTGATCTCCTTCAACGAACGCAGGCCGAGATGTTCCAGGTTTGTAATGTTTATGGCGGCGAAACTGACGGTGTTGCTGCATTTGTGGGAGATGTAAAGAGAGGAACACTGGTTAAAGGTGAAGTGTGTCATTTTTATGATATAAAAAGGTTTGATATGCAGAGAACGTCAGTTATTTGTAAGTTGACATGATGGAACTCACTGTTTTGTTCTTCCTCTGATGATCTCCAGGTTCTCAAAGGGACTGAGGGATTTGAGGTGTTTAGGCCAGTCTTGGATTAACAGAAACCCTGAGAAAAATTCAATAAATAAGTTTGCTAAATTGCTAAATAAGGTTTTATTTACCTTTCCTCAAAGACATATTCAAATTGTGTGTGTGTGTGTATATTATTATATTTATATATATGTCTGTGTGTGTGTATAGGTGTAAATACACAGACATGTACACACACACACAAATATAATATATATAATAATAAATATACACAATCATATCAATTATATATATATATATATATAATTTAAAAATGTTTATTTGTATAATTATGTATACATTAATATAAAAACATATATATATAGTTGTGTAGGCTACCTGATATTTCTTTGACTGTTTTGAAATAGTCAAGTTTCACAGGGTCCATGCTTGGAGTATTTGTAAAAACATCCCTTTAAAAACATTTGTTAAAAAAGGCATTAGGTTTATTAATGCAATACATTACAAACAGAGTTTGGTTGATTTTGTCTGTAGTCTATAAAATCTCACCCTTGAAAAGTCGTCTTCATTATTGTAATGTGCCCATTTATTTTGGTGCAGTTGATAAATGAATCAATGTTGGTCGCGTTGACTGCGATAGTGTTAACAAGCGCGCCCGTTCCGAGACCATTACAGACTAAACCAAAACACACAGGGTCAAATCATTTCACATTTCATGTAAATACTGTATTTCAGAAATGACAAGAAAAACACTATTATTTATTAATGATGCTGTAAGTAAGTAAAATTTATTTGTATAGCACATTTCTCAGAAAAAAAAATCACAAAGTGCTTCACAACAAAAGAACGAAATCACAACTCTTATAAATACATTACAGCACATAATCAAATTAAACACACGTACACATTAGACCAGCCTAACCACCCTACAGTCTAGTTAAAAGCCTCTTTAAAAAAGGCTTTGGCTCATTCTGGTAATTAACATTATTAGTTAAAAAAATGAGTTATTAGGGAAATAATCCACAATTACATATTTAATTAATAACAATTAATGTATGAACTAATACATTAACCATACAGACTCTTAATTAGTTCATAATGTGGTAATCATTAATGAATAGCTTAGATAATCATTAGTTACACATTAATTCAGTATTATCTGTGCATTAGTTAAGCATGAATTAATGCTTATTAGTGCACCCGTATTGTAAAGTGTTACCCAGTTTTCAACTGGGTTTTAACATTTTCCACACAATCCAAGCAAGCGTATGGAAGGAGGCAAAGCGTTCCACAACCTGGGTGCCACACCTTGAAATGAACGGTCCCCCCTAGTTTTAAAATGTGTAAGAGGGGCAACTAATAGTCTCTGGCCTGTTGATCTCAGACTACGTGAGGACGTACGCAGCTGTATCAGGTCAGAGATGTATGGGGGTGCCTGTCCTTGTAGGGCTCTAAAAGTTAGAACCAAAATTTTGAAGTGCATTCTAAATTTCACTGGTAACCAATGAAGTGAAGCTAAAACTGGAGTAATATGTGCCCTTTTACTCGTGTGAGTTAAAAGCCTAGCAGCAGTCTGGAGACGACAAAGATCTTTCTTATTAAGGCAAATAAAAAGACTGTTACAATAGTCTAAACGAGACGAGATAAAAGCGTGAATGATCATCTCCAACTCGGCTTTTGCTGCTGACCTTTTGGGCACAAGCCGTCACATTGTTTGCACTTCCTTATTCCGTTCTCCTCCACTTCATGCATGTTACTGCTGCAGGTCCGAACGCAGGCATCGTGATCAGTCACCACAAAGTTGTCTGGAGCAGAAAGAGGAGTTTGCAGTCATGTTTCAGTTAAATATCAATACTGCTCCAACTTCAATTATTAATAAACAAAGTAAAACAGACACAAATTAGACAATTTGCATGCAGTAAGAGATGTAAAATGAGCATGGATAGTATAGCTTAGATCATTTGGTCTTGAGAGGATTTGAGGAGAAATGAGTTTGAATTGAGATTGCTGGATTTTGAATGCAGACTTTGATATGAAGGACAGTTTAAGATGATAGCTATGTTTCCATCCACCTATGCATTAAGAAAACTGAATAAATTCTAAAAATGCACATAAGCTTATGTGCTCAATTAAGGCAGATAAAAAAATGTATCTGATAAGAAGACATGCACATAAACTACAATGGAAACACATTTACCCAATAAATCCGTCGATGTGCGACAAAAAAACTCACGTGACTTTGCCTCAATATTTATTGCACAGCATCTCAAATTTTGGTTTTATCATTCTGAAATGAAAGCTAAAGTCTGTCATCAAAATGATTTGGTATAATGACCTCCCAGGAGGGTTTTAATTGACATAATTGCATCCTAAAATAAAATGACCGCGTTTATTGCGTTTCGTCTGCGTGCTCTGAGACACAAGTCATTTATAATGTAGAATAAAAGAGCCACAGTGGCTTCCCCGATTGCAGCAGCCATTTTATTACAGATATTTTATGCCAATTTCCCAGGAAGTAACGATTTTATTGTCTTGAACACATGGGATGGAAATGCTTCTTTATTCGCAAATGTTTTATGCGATTTTTTCCAATTTTGCACTGAAGTTAAATTCGCAACATTGAATGAATACATGTGTTGACATCTCTTCTAAAATTACAGAGGAGACACGTGATATTGCTGCGGTCTTTTGCAATATATGTTTTAAATACATTATATACATATATTCTATTTATTAATAGCTACACAATTCATTTTAGGTCTGTTTCCCTTAAATAGACCTTGACTTCAGAGAACTTACAGTACTTCTTTGTTTACATAGTGCATAACCTCTGGGTGTGTCTTTGCTTATATTTTTCTAACATAACTGATTAAAGACTAGTGTTATTTTTTGCCTCTGGATAATGCTGATGGTTGTTATACACAATAGCAATGACATGAGCCAGTAAACCTCTGTGACTTCTGGGGCTCTTCTATTTACAAACTAAAGGTTTTAATGGAAAGAATTATCTCCTCTTGTTAAAGTGATCTTAATGATCTCAGGCGTATGAAAGCAAACTTACAGGGGCACTTCTTCACACAGGTGGCACCAAAGTTGTACTTCCCGTTGGGATTGGGAACAAGTTGGTGATTGTTGGGGTCATACAGCATTAGACGTGGACACGCATCCTTGCACGTCCCGTCATCCTGGAAGTCTCTGCAGGCCTGCAGAAGAAGAGACCGTACACAGTAAACACACAAAATATGTTCCAAAATATGACAAGGTACTGAATAACTGCAAATTGATTTTAAAAATGAAATTAAAAAGTTTATTGCACAATTGGTGATTAGAATTTGGCAGAAATAAGTGTGAAATATTAAGAATAATACAACTAAAATAAATATTTCAACTGTTAAATAAGTAAATATAATAATAATAACAAAATACATAAAATTATATCATACAACAAAAGTTTTTTATACATTTTAAATAATTTTAAATATTAAAATAAAGTATAAAACATATTTTCTTTGTAGGTTTAACCCAATCAGCAGGTATAAGATTGGTAAATATGCACACAGTATGTTTATTTGTCATGTATCTTGTATTAAACCTACAAAAAAAAACATATTCATGCTTCATTTAAAATGTTAGACCTTTATCTTTTATGATAGTAAGACATGTTTCACCACTCACCAGGCAGTCTGTGGCTCGGGGTCCAGTGCAGCCCGCAGCGCAGTGTTCACTGCAGCAGTCAGAGGGTTTGGGACCCCGGCACCTCCGCGAGCACTGCTCAGCACAGTTCAGCCGAGTCACTGACAAAGAAGACCAAAGAACCTTAGTTAGGACATTGTTCACTCACACATATGCCTTTGGAGAACATTACATATACAATTGAATTTACAGGTCTGGCAGTTCTCTGGTCCTGGAGCCCAACACGATCCATTAAAGCACGCTGAGTCACATCGTATGCCTGAGGTAATGAAGAAAGTATTTTGTGTTACATTTAATATACATTTATTTTACATTAACAAGTCTTTTATGGCCACCAAGGCTACATTTATTTGATAAAAAATACAGTACAGAATTATCTGAAATATTACAAATTAAAATAACTGTTTTATTTTAAAATGTAATTTATTCCTGTAATCAAAGCTGAATTTTTAGCATCATTACTCCAGTCTTCAGTGTCACATGATCTTTCAGAAATCATTCTAATATGCTGATTTGCTGCTCATGAAACATTTCTTATTATTATGTTGAAAATAGTTGTGCTGCTCAATATCTTTGTGGAAATTGTGATAGTCTTTCAGGATTCTTTGATGAATAGAAATATAAAAAAAAAAAAAAAAAAGCATTTATCTGAAATGTACATCTTTTGTAACATTACAAATGTCTTCACTGATTTATTTAATGCATCCTTGCTAAATAAAAGTATTAATTTTCGAAAAACTTAAAGAACCCAAACTTTTGAAAATATATATATACAGTATATATATGTTTTTTGTTTTTAAAACTTTAAATACTCACAAAACGGGGGTTCAGTCCCTTCTGATACTTTCACCTCACTGTCGTCCTGCACAATGTCCAACCACTGTATAGTATCCACATTGCAAAGCAAAGGATTGTGAGATATTTTAACCCCGCCTTTAAGAATTTCTGCCAGATAAAGAGAGAAAACCGGTTCTCTGTAAATAGAAAATGTAACTTCACATACAGCTCTAGGGCTGAAAAAGCAACGAGCCTATGTGTTGCATGCTGTTTACAACACATTGTGGTGCTTATCAATGCGTAAATGTGCTTTTCATTGGTACTGTAAGTCGATTCGGATAAAAGCATCTGCTAAAATAGTAAATAAAATGTGCTTCTACCTGTGAGGCTTCTCATGCGCAGCTCTCTGAGGCCGCTGATGCTGCTGTTCTCTAAAGACTCATTCCTGTGGAAGTTTGCCACCACAGCAAGGGCGTACTTGCCATCAAAGAGAGAATGTCCTCGGATGAGGCGTAGGTTTCCCAATGGTATCACATCCACATGGTTTATTCCTATTAGAACGTAGCCACCAACTTCTTCAATACTCTGTGGGTATGAAACAGAATGCATATTGTAGTCAGACCCCCTAAATCCCATTTAAAAAGTCTCAGATTTGTTTGTTCTAACTTCAGCCTGTAAGGAAACCTATAATGCCCTTTTTCAAAGCCTTGATTTGGTTTGGGGGTCTACTAGAAGTTTTCTAAAAACATTATTTTTCCACATATTTTACATTATTGCAGCACCTCTCTTCCCAGTCTGTCAGTAATGCTCTGGGCTGCGTTTCCCAAAAGCATCATAAGCCTAAGTCGATCTAAGATAGCATTGGTGGAAATTGTTCTTCAATCAACTTAGGTTTACGATGCTTTTCTGGAAACTCAGCCGTGTTTATTTCCGGTCTCTATAAAGCCCCTCCTTCCAAAAAGCAAAGTTTCCTCTGATTGGTCGGCTGGACCAGTGTGTTGTGATTGGCCAACCGATTCAAGTGTGTTTTGGTAATGTCTCACCTCTTACCATAACCAGGAGTTTCAACACACTGCTACCTAACTCAACAAGGCCTCATTCCTTTTATTTTTCATATGCCTTAGGCAGGAATTATTTAAATGAGGAATATTGTGACGTGTTCATTCCCGGAAGATAACTCAAGACTACAATTGAGGGGAGATCAGTGATCATACTAATAGTGATATTAAACACATTTTAGGCTTAGCATTAAGAAATGTGCATTGTGCAATAAAGAAGTACTCCAAATAAAGTTTAACTATAATATATATATCAGTAAGTTGGCATTTGGGTTTTTTTTTGGGACCCTTTTAATCAATAATTAGATCTTATTTAACATAAAAAAGCAGCCTTGTTCTTTTAACCAATTAGCAGTCTATAACCAATTAGTAGTCAATGATCTAGTCTCATAATTTTATATTTAGGTTGCCATTTTATTATGCCGGCACGTGATGTCACTCACCATGAGAAAAGAGAGGTCGTGGTACTCCTGAATGTTGGTTATCTCCAGGTTCTCCAGCACTGTTGTGCAGTTACTATACATCCGCACCATGGCCCTGTAGTGGTCGTCTGGCTGTGCCAGCTGAGTCAGCTTATTATTGGTTCCCTGACATACTGGAGAATAAAGCAGAGGTGAAATCAATCAATACTCAGGTAGTGAAGGTGATATCACAGAAAATACACAAAATAAGCAAAAAATTGTAATCCTTCAATTTTATTTGTATAGGGCTTTTCACAATGCATATCGTTTAAAAGCAGCTTTACAGAAAATGCATGTCTAAATTACAAGAGTGATCTGTTATCAGATGTGACTGTGTCCAAGTAATGTATTTCAGAAATGTACAGTACACATATACAAATCACACAGTTAGCTAACACCATGTATACATTTTTAGGCAGAAACAGTGCAGTGCGCTCATTGAAATAATGACTACAAGTTGTGCACATAATGATTACAGCATAGAAATGTTTGCATTGCTGCATGTTGATTCAGAAATGATCCTTCATATATCCACTTTCATCCATTGCTATGTTAATCTTGGTTATTGATTGCTGTTTTTTTTATGTGTCTGTGACTAAATCATTTTAATAATCAAGTTGTAATATTTCAGGAAATTATAGAAAATTCACAGTCCACTAAAATAGAGAAAACTAAATTCAAGCATTTGAGCAGAAGCCTTCAAAAAGCGAAACATAAATTAATACAAGTGTGTTCAAACTTTGGACTGGTAGTATCAATAACTGACTGATATTTTATATTTCTATTTAACATTTTCAGGCCTTCTCACTTTTAGGTCTCTCCAGCGCTAGAAAGCATTCTTAATATTACCGTGGGTCCTAAAGCCTGATCACAAGATATTCCTCTGACCTGTTCTCTTTTGTAATGTCTCTCGGCCATCTCTCTTTTTACAGTCTTACTTCAAATCTCCCACCTCTTACTCACTTTCTCTCTCCTCCCCCATCATGAGTGGACACGCCCCCTACTGCTGATTGGCTACAAGTGTGTTTTGATGCTCGGTCAGATCCATATTTACAGCTTTTTTCTTTTCTTTTCTTAGAAATCGCTGATCCTTTAATGTTTTACAGAACCGAGATATGCAGTTGTTGTAATGTTAGCTGAAGTAACAGGACAGTTTTGAGTGTCATTGTTTGTTTGGAGCTGCGTGTGCTGCTGGCGACAAACAACCAACTCTGGCTTGTGTACCGTATATTAATTGTTTTGCTCTCCCTTGTCGTTTCGTTCGTCATCTTCGCTTTTTTTCTACGAAGCATTATTTTGCTTCGCTTCAGCTATGATAAAGAAACATCCACTCTTGCATTGCGTGTTCGTGCATTTTGGGGGCGGAGCAATGAAGGGTGGGGTGTGTTTGTCTGGGTTCATTTCAAACATTGCAACATGATTCTCAGAAATCGCTTACTTTTAATCTCAAAATGAATATACATGTTTTCCGTCATTCAACAAGATGATATGAATGTTTAAAATGAAAATCAATGAAAAGCATCAGTTAATGTGTCAATAAAAAACCATGAGTCATGACACATTACCCACTTACCCAAATAACTAACTTGCAACACCATGAACCTCTAACTGTAATATTCTATTCCATGTGTCAAAATATCTTTTGTTGTGTTCCACAGAAAGATAGTCATACAAGTTTGAACAGACATGAAGGTGATTCTTCATTTGTTGGTGAACTATACCTTTAAGACACGGCCTAAAGCTGTTCCACTTTAGAGCCCTTGTCATTGTTCACAGTAACATGAGCTCATCTCATGCACTGAACACACTAAACCTAGATCATATTTCAATTATCACCTTTAAACTATTTCCACAGGGTTTCCTAAACATAAAAGTTTATTACTACCCTGTTTGCATATTTTACATTGTGTGATCTTCTTCATGAAAATATAGTACTTTCCAAAACTCATTGTGCATCATAGTGGAAAACAAGTGTTTTTGTCTCTGCTGTCTTTCTCATGTCATACAGGTGTTGAATTCCTGCAGCCATCGTTAGGTGTCTCATCTCTCCAGTGGAAGAGCAAATTCTGTGGGCGGGATATCCGTGATCAAGAATGTGGTTCACAGAGGGTGAGACTCAAATATTGCACACAAGTGTTGCTCAACATAAGAACCGGTTGAATTCTTGCCTGCCACGTGCAAGAGACATGGATTGTATTCCCAGTCAGTGCCGGTAACAACTCAATTATCATCTATTTTCCCTCAGGGATCGATAAAGTTTCTAAAGTGAGGCCAGGGAACTTAATAAAAAGGAAATGCGCAGATTTGTTTTAGACTCTGTTCCAAAAACTAGCGTGCATCCTAACTATATAGCACTTGACGTCATCTGAGGCATGCCTGTGACAGGAAGGCTGTTCCAAAAAAGTAGCCTCTTAATTATGTTGCGTTCTAATAATGCATTTACGTCATTATGTGTTTCCGTTCACTTCTTTGCCGTTCCCCTAATAACAAGTTGGAATTTGATCAAATCTCTGATTTGATCGTCATGATGTCATGTATAAAGAACCATAATGGCAGCAGCCGCTACACATATTTTTAAAGCAAAATAAAATTTGTATTATACCCCGTGTTACCAGGTGCACATCTTAAAACAATTTGCAAGAGCATATAGAGGTAAATCTTGTTTATTTGTACAACTTAAATATATATAATAAAAAAAAAATAGCATATGCAGAAATTAACATTCAAAAGTTTGGGGTCTGTAAGATTTTTTAAATGTTTTGCTCTTCTGCTCACCAAGGCTGCATTTATTTGATCAAAAACAGTAATATTGCGAACTATTATTACAATTTAAAATAAAAAAATTCTATATTAAATACATTTTAAAATTTGATTTATTTCTGTGATTGCAAAGTTGAATTTTAAGCATTTTCATCATTACTCTAGTTGTCAGTGTCACATGATCCTTCAAAAATCATTATATGCTGATTTAGTGCTTAAGAAAAAGCATTTGTTTGAATTATTTAGTTAAAAAAACAGCATTTATTTTAAATAGAAATCTTTTGTAACAATGTAAAAGTCTTTACAGTCACTTTTGGTCAATTAAGGCATCGATGCTGAGTAAAGGTATTAATTTCATCTTCTTTTTTTTTATTAAAATGTACAGAACCCAAAACTCTGACCATGTAGTATATATATTTTATATACATGTAGTTAGTTTGATAACTTGCAAATGTGAAACTCTATTGGAATCAATAGTAAGTCCAGTCTCACATGCTCAAGGAGTGTTATTTTTGAGTTGTCGCCAATACTGTGTTCCAATTCAATCATCTACGAGGCTCTGTTTCAATGTGGTCTTTGAAGACATCTGCCTATGTAGACAGTAGACAGACAGGCAGCTCACTGGGGTTTGGAACAGAGCTAGTGTGTAGTAAAAGAAATAGGGTTGAATATTTGACTACAGGTTCATTCTGTCTTAAAAGTGCAAACATGGTGTGTTTTTTTAATTTTATTCTTCCTTATTTAATTCTTCCTAATTCTTCCGGCGCACATGAAGGGTATTTCCACTTTTGCAAAATTAGCATTTTTGAGATCAGTCAACACTTTGGCAACATAGTCCTACCTGTTTTGTGAGATGTGAGATGGTCAGGACCAACAAACATTTTCAACTCTCAGCTCTTGCATAAATTACCTTCTGAAAATCCAGCTTGCCTAAATTAATCAGTGTTGTGGCATTAGTTAGTTGTCAAAAAACAAAGAAAGAATCAGGCCCTAGAGCAGTGGTTCTCAATCCTGGTCCTAGGGAGCCACTGCTCTGCACAGTTTGTATGTCTCCCTCATTTAACACACCTGATTCAGATCATCAGCTCATTAGGAAAGAGCTTTATTAACTGAAGTGGGTGTGTCAGATGAAGGAGACATTTAAAATGTGCAGAGCAGTGGCTCCCTAGGACCAAGATTGAGAACCACTGCCCTAGAGCATCCAGATATCTGCTCTAGGGTAGATTTCAACAAAAGATTAAGGTCAGGCATGAAGTAGATTTAGGTTTTTAGCCCTTCACGATCCCTTCACAAGCCCCTAAAATGTGAGATTGTTAACAGATTGCAAAACGTACAGCTTTTTTCTACGGGCGGCTGTTTAGAAGCGGTGCCTCAGGCTTGAGCCCGAACCAAGGGATGTGACTGAACAGGTTGCTCCTTGAAAAAAATATTTATGAAGGAACATCTTAACTCCCTCATTACGTCACATCAAACCATCAGGAACAACAGAACAACATTCTGATGATTATAAACTCAAGTTTTAAGTTTGGTTCAAGTCAGGTTTGGTTTGGTTATATAGCACCATTAAAACAGCAGCAGGTGACCAATGTGCTTTACAACTCAAGTGTTTTATCTTTTGCAACTGATGCAACGCATGCACAAGGGTTATCAAGACTCCATCAGTGCAAAGAAACAGAAGTCAAATAAATCAACCTGTCATTTCCTGATGGAAACAAAACCGTCTTACATATTTTAGCCACAATTTTTTTTTTTTTAAATAAACTAATACTTTAATTGAGCATGGATGCATAAACGTTACAGTCAGCACATTTATAAAGTTAAAATATTTCTATTTCAAATGAATTCTGTTCTTTTGTACTTTCTATTCATCAAAAAAGTATCACGTTTTAAATAAAAATATAAAGCAGCACAAATGATTTCAGAAACTTCTCTCACGCATGGCTTATCTACTTAAGTATGGGGTGCACAGGGTAGAAATAATGATGATAGATTAATTATGATAACCTGGGATCATCTCAAGGCTGTCAACGCATATAATTTATTTTTACAAGGCCATGCAGTTGTTCCCATGCTTTCCCATCCTTACTTTATTACCTACGGCTTTCTTTGCTCTATTTTTCTTTTTCTTATGCCTCATTTTCTCACTGCTTTAATTGTATAGGCTTTGGGTGACAGGACTTTGGATGACTATACCATGTAACTATAGTTTTAAGGTAAAACATTGAGATGATGTATTTCCTTTTGAAACCACAGTTATTAAATAGATGCTTCCGATATATGTCACACTTAATCACGTTGAAAGTATCAACTTAATTAAAAAAATATTTAATGTCTTTATATTCTCTTCTTCTTTTCCCCCTCAGGGTACAATGCATAATGCAATAATTTCTTGGGCAGAATCTAGATTTTTGTGTCAGTGAGTGGTAGTCACACAGCTTATATTTAGTTATTTTATGTTTAGAGTTTGGGCTACAACCTAAATGCACTGTAACCTTGTTTTCTGACAGATGTCAGTGTATCTGGATGTCCTTTCGATGACTAAGTTTGATTGTGGGCAGAAAACTGGATCAACTGTTTGTAGAGTAAGTTTGCACTGTTGCAAAAAGTATTGATCCATATGAGCACAAAAAGTCAACAGCATTTGTCATGACGCATCCTGTTTTCCATCTGATAGTCTTTCCAGGAATACACCTAAAGGGAAATCTTATTTCTGTGTTGGTACATGTATGTTGGAAATATTCAAATGTGTTAGCCTGGAAACCCACATTTTCACATATCTTGAATTTTATATAACCTTTGTGTTATGGAATGGTTTCCAATGGGTTGATCTGAAGTTGGCGACAAAAGTTGTTTTGAATCTTCACAAAAATATTCAGAAAAACATATTTTCCCCAAGTTGAGGCTCCAGTGTTTCATGCTTGTGTTTTACCAATTTTAAGATACAAGATCTGATGCAATGACATAATCATAATAGTGGTATTTACAGTACAAAATGAATGTTTAAATATTCTTGAAAAGCAATATAAATGGTTATCAATTTGAGAGTAGCAGTTTCACATGACTGCGCTTCTTACATCTTCTGTTTTTCTTTACCGTGATAGTGCGTGACAGTTCACTGTTGTCACCCTAAATGAGAGACATGTGGATATAATACCTTCTAACTGAATTGAAGTAAATACAATTTACAGAGTGAAACAAAGACGTCTCACTCCATGGCTGTGTGCTTTTTATACAAACAACCGTCTGTCTAAATCAAATAAGTATCATATTGTCTATTTGTGACCTATCCATCAAAATTAAATATGATGAATTCAGCTCTTTGTCTATGGGGCAATTTGCTGACTGCAAAAGTAAAAACATGGCATGATGTAAAGTTGTAAACAACTGCATTTGGTAAACAACATGAGACATGCATTTTAGTATTAAAATATTTTGATGAAGAAGACACAAATTAATGAAATGGTAAACACTTTATTTAGATATTCCACTTTAGACATTCTACTAACTATAAGTAACTTTGCAACTACATGTAACTAGCAGTCATTATAGTATTAGTAGACTGTCTGCTTATTAATATCTGCTAACACTTTATTTTGTGCTTCCCAAAAGACATTATACTGACTATAGGTAACTCTGTAACTTCTGGTACGTTTACACGACAACGATGTACTAAAAATGGAAAAGTTTTTCCTTTGTGTTTTCTTTTTTTTTTGCATACATACGACAACGTTGTCAAAACGATCCCCGTTCACACGTATCCGCAAAAACTACAAAAAATGCTGTATTATACCTACCAGGCCAGTAGTTGGTGAAAAGAAACACTACGTGCCTAGACAGATGCGCATGATGTCACCGGTTTCACAAATTCGCGTTTTTCTAGTTTACGCTCAGATAACGGTATTGGCAAAACTGGCAAAACTCGCTTTCAAAAGTTTGCATTTTCAGGACCCCAAAATGCCTTTGTTGCGTAAATGAACGGCCAGTTTTTATTTGCCACCAGGCAAAAAAATGCTAATTTGAATGCTCAGAAAAGTATCAGTACACATCTCCTCAACAAGTCTCATGATTTAGCTTGATCTACATGGGCTGCTGTTTTCAAAATAAACACGCTTACGTAAATCCTCAAGGCTATGGCCTTGGTTAATCGTGATCTGTAAATTATAACATCTCATAATCAGACTGTTCTTGCAGTTTGACGATGGACTTGTCTTATAAATAACACAAATCTTTAAAATAGGAACAAACATTAATGGCCAGTAGGCACTACCATTCAATAGTTTGGGGTTTGGTTTTGAAAGAAGTCTCTTCTGCTCACCAAGGCTGCATTTATTTGATCAAAAATACAGTAAAACAGTAATATTGTGAAACGGTATTACAATTTAAAACAACTGTTTTCTCTTTTGATATACTTTAAAACGGCATTTATTCTTGTGATGGAAAATCTGAATTTTCAGCATCATTTAAATGTCACATGATCCTTCAGAAATCATTCTAATATGCTGATTTGCTGCTCAGTATTTTTGTGTAAACCGTGATACATTTTTTCAGGATTATTTGATGAATAGAAAGAACAGCATTTATTGAAAATAGAACAATGTAAAAGTCTTAAGTGTGACTTTTAATGCATCCTTGCTGAATAAAAGTATTATTTTCTTTAAAAAAAAATGTAAACAGTAGTGTATGTACTTGAAAATGAATATCTAAAATCATTTCCCTGCTTTTCTGAACAGTGTTCATTCATTCTTTTTAAAAACAAATAACGTAGGCCAGAGATAACCTCTACCTAAGACACACATTATTGACTAAATATACTGGCATCTCACAGACTATAATTGATTTTGCCCACATATTTTAAACGAGAATCAATGAAACATTTCATACCACTTAGCAGATCAATGAAATATGAGGTTTAAATGGATGACAAAAACTATTTTGACATTTTGAACAATAACAGATTGCAGTTATCTGTTCATTTACATTGATTACTTTACTTTCCATTCAATTTACCCTTGTAGCTGGTGGTCAGAGAGTGTGATGCAGGAGAACAGGAGTTCTAGTCTTTAGTAAATAACAGCGGTCATAGTGACCCTGGATATTTAAGAGTTTGCTAAGAATTTCAAGACAATTAGATTTAGAACAAATAGTGATGTCTAGACCAAATTACAGCACAGAAAACTCGGGTAGAAGGAGGACACGAATATCTTTAGTGATTAGCACATAGGTGTGGACTAAGAAAGGGATGTGTGTATTTTGATACAGTGTATTTATACCAGCTCACACTGTATGTGTCAGATGCATAATGACTGGATATTTCTAAATGCATCTAATTGTTGTTTTGTTTCCATTCTTTTAAAACAAACTACATGAGAATATTAAAGGGATAGTTCACCCAAAAATGAGAATACTGACATCATTTACTCACCCTCAAGTTGCTCCAAACCTGTATGAATTTCTTTCTTCTGCTGAACACAAAAGAAGATATTTTGAAGTACTGTATTAACCAAACATTTGATGGACCCCATTGACTTCCATAGTATGCGGGAAAAAAAACACTCTGAAGTCAATGTGGTCCATCAACTATTTGTTTTCCGACATTCTTCAAAACATCTTCTTTTATTTCAGCAGAAGAAAGAAATGCATACAGGTTTGGAACAACTTGAGGGTGAGTAAATGATGACAGTATTTTCATTTTTTGGTGAACTAACCCTTTAGGTACAAAAACAATTGAGATTAATCATAATTATTTTGGGTGATTACATTTTCCTTAAAGGAAACTTCCTTTTGTTTCTCAATGCCAATGGAACCAGTTTTATGTCATTCATCACATGTTCAGTATGAAATATGCATGTTACAGGTATTTGTTCTTGACCTAAGTTTTCTGATATCTAGTGTCGAGTATGTTTCTGGCCTTATGGTCTGCAGAAAACATTGCCAAATAAATGTTGTGACATAATTTGTCAAACTCTGGGCCTGACTCTGCATGCCACAGATTGTGAATGATGAAATCCCCCATGCACAAATGCAAGATCAGATAGTGAAAGAGTAACCCTATCACAATATCTAGCTTTGTTCCATGTACATTTAAAAGGAAGTCTTCTGATTAATCGTAGGAGAAAAATCCACACCTACGCAAACCCACAGTCATGATTCACATGAATGGATGCTGTTCCATTCCTGTTAATGCTTCAAATACATGTATCTACATTACAATAAGCAATAACCCTTCTAACCTATTTTTCTCTTTTTTTTCTGCCATGTGGGAATGAAACAAAGTATGAGATGCCGTTGAGACAGCACTGACTGACAGGTTTGGCTGACACATGCATACCAAAGGTCCATCGCCAGAAGGCTTTCCACACCTAAATTGACAGGTCATTAAAGACGAAGTGTGTAATTTAACCAAAAAGACTTGCAAGAAATAGTAACTGTTTTCTCAAACACTGCCATTGGTCACAAAACAGATAGTCCCGGCTCAAACTCACACCATTGGTGGAGCCAATGTCGCTGTGTATAGGGCTGATCGGGATGCTTAAACAAATATGGCAATGTTTTGACAGAGTGACACTGTTTGCATTTCTCAGGAGAAAGTCTTTACTGGGACAGGAGAAACTTTTTTTTAAAGGGATAGTCAATCAAAAGGTGTGAATATTCATTATCTTTCTAAAAAAAAAAATTGAAAGCAAGACTGTCACATTCATGTGATATGATTCATTATAAAATGTGCATCAACACTTTCTGTTGATGCACTTTCTGTTTTAATTGCAATACTGCTAAAGCCACAATAATGTATTGGCTTTAAAGTGTCTTCATTATGTGACTTTTCTAAGCTAATATTGTGAATAATAAGACCAATTAATAGTTATATCTTGTGATTAATTCAACACTTTAATTGATTGATTTTTCCTAGAAAACGCCATTAGGCCATGAATGACATGGGACAAAAGTAAAATGAGTGAAGTTAGTATCTACTGTATCTGTAATATTAATTTTGTACTTGCAACAGGAAGTATACAAATAAAAATAAAATAAAAACTATAGATTCATGAACAGTGCTTTTCCTCAGACAGTAGCACAAGTCTGCATAATGGTACTGTACAATTCAATGATCCAATGTTGTTAACCTACATTCAGTTATTCAGTTTACCCTGCTGTCTTTAATAGAAACGCAGATGAAATCTGTGTATCAAATTGTACAGTCTACGTCATTGCATTCTCTGCAGAAGGTATGATCAGAATTTTCACGCAGACAACACACAACCATTCTTTTGTGTATGAAAGGTGTGCTGCTTATCAAATAACAACAGTTTGACATAAGTGTATATCCATTTTGGAAAAAATAAATAAAGCCAATTTTAGAGCCAGATCTGTCCATTTTATACTTATAAACACATAATCAAAACCAGTTTTTGCCAGGTCTGCTCTGGGACAGTGTTGGTAGCCCCCATCTGCTGTTAATTTCTCAACTGGCAAGAAAGCTGAAACAGCATGTTAAACACAGTCTGTTCGGGTAGAGACTGGACCACAAACAGAGGGCCCAGACCCCACTCAGTGGGGCAGCTGTCTAGCGATACCATCTGCTGGTGTTGAACTCTTGGCCCTCATCCTGTGGTCACCAGTCTCAAAAGTTCATCAAGTACTTTTAAATAAATTTCAGATGTAATTACCTTCATTACACTTTTAGCAACAAGAAAGACTCCTTGTCATGGGGTCACTTGTTGGGGTTAAAGACAATCCGTCCGTTTGTGTTGTACAGATGATTAATAATGTCACCTCAGCTCTCTAATCTTATCTAACTAATGCTTTTCAGATCATTAGATTTTAATCATATTATACATATTCATATTGTACATGAACTATCTGAAACGTCATATAATTGTTATTATTATATAGTACATAATGGCTATCTATCTATCTCATCTCTCTCTTATCTAATCATTAGATTTTTTTCATATTTGAACTTGAACTATTGATGTATGAAACAATATAATTTTTATATTATTATTTTTACATAATATCTATGTTTGTTTACACTAAAAGTCAAAAGTGTGGACACACGACTAAAATTATGTCATATTTATCTTATTTTCTTCTCATATGTTTTAAAAGACGTTATGTTTGTGTAGATAAGGAAAAATAAATCAGTCAAATCTGAGACGTTTGTTAGTGATAGAAGTTAAAACTTCACTCACCTTTCCTCTCAGAAACGGAGCACCACACCGCACTTATCAGCACAAGACAGACGATTCCCAATTCACGGAACAGAGACGGCTTCGTAAACCTCATGTTCAACAGTGGATTCATTCTAAAGCATTGTTTTTGTTTAGATATTCCCACGAACAGACAATATGTTGCTCGTAACAGAGATAGTTTTCCAGCGGCAGGTCCTGTTCAGCTCCTCAACGTGTCTGAGCACTTATAGCTACAGCTGTGACGTGACGCAGGCAGCTCACCTAGACTGCACCCGAGACGCGACGCGACTGAACCACTGTGTGTGTGTGTGTGTGTGTGTGTGTGTGTGTGTGTGTGAGTGTGTGTGTGTGTGTGTGTGTGTGTGTGTGTGCGTGTGTGTTTGTGTGTGTGTGTGTGTTAACAAATGTCCCCACAAGGATAGTAATACCAGGAAATTTGGACTTTTTTGATTTTTGGTCCTCATGAGGAAAACAACTTAATACATCATCATACTAAATGAAGTTTTGAAAATGTAAAGATGCAGAAAGTTTTTTGTGATGGGTAGGTGTAGGGTTAGTGTAAGGGGATAGAATATACATTTTGTACAGTATAGAAATCATTGTCAATGGAAAGTCCCCATAAAACCTGGAAACAGTTTGTGTGTTTGTGTGTGTGTGTGTGTGTTACAGATTGTGTAATTTTTGTTATGTCATTTGTACTTTGCTAATTCCAATGTCAGAAAGGATTTGTTGGTATTTTTTCAAAATGTCAAAATTATATTTTGTTTTGGAAAATGCCCCAATTTTTTTGTGAATTATACACAAATTATGATAATATGAAAAGTTCTACATACTGAATAAGAAGCTTCCATAGAAACTGAGTCTCATAAAGTTTCTGCAACAGAATACTTTTTTTTTAAAGTAATTGCGAATTATCATCACACAATTCCGACTTTTTTTTTCTCGCAATTGCGAGTTTACATCTCGCAAATCTGACTTTTTTATCTCAGCATTACATGATATAAAGTCACAATTGCAAGTTATAAAGTCAGAATTGTGAGATATAATTTCGGAGAAAAAAAGAATTGGGAGATATAAACACGCAATTCAGGAAACAAAGTCACAATTATCTTTTATTCTGTGGCGGAAACAAGCTTCCATAAGTTTCTCTCATCAGATTATTTTTTTTGGTTTCTTTTTTGTGACTTCCCTTTTGCCAGAGCCTGTTTATAAAAACTATTTTTTTTAATTGTGCATGTAAGTGAATGTAAAATATATGAAATGCCCCCAAAATTGTTGAAAACATAGCATTCAAAACCCCTCAAATACCACCCAGCTAACATGAGTCCAGCGGTCCAGTGGTGGACCACCGGTGGCAAAGTCGGCGGCCCACTGGCGGACGCCGCCGGCGGATCACTGGCGTTTTGCTCATCGTTATTCTAGCGGACCTCCAGCGGCAGACGCCGCTTTCCCGACGGTGGTCCGCTATCGTGCCGCTGGTTTATAATAAGTGTTTTATGGCGGACCACGGTCGGTCCACGGTTTATAATCAGTTATTCATGCTAACCAAAATGCCCTCTTACTATAATGGATAAAAAATAAGCAATGTACACCAGTCTCAATAGCAGTTGCAAATATATTTTTATTAGATTAATTTTCAGTGGACAGATTAAATTAATACATTTATCAGATTATTTTACTCAACGTGACTATTAGTCAAGTACATTATAGGATAATTTAAGTATATTTGTAGTACCCTTATGAAAATTAACCATATGGTTTTACCACAGCATTTGCAGCATTTTCACAACAACCAAGGTTTAAAAACCTATATGGTTATAGTCATGATTAGTTGATTACCATAATTTTACAGCAATTATTACAGCAATATTACTAGTTGAACCATGGTTTTGAAAAAAAAAATAACATGGTTGGTAGTTTTACCATAGTAAAACCATATAGTGCTCTTCACAACACAAATCGTTTCAAAGAAGCTTTACAGAAAATGCATGTTCATGGTTACAATCGCAAAATATCCTTTAATCAGCCAGAGGTGACTGCTACTCACTGGAGAGCATCTTCTGGCAACAAAGTAAAGTCCATAAGATACAAGTCATGAGTTTAAAGTCATGTTCAGTTAAACAGACAAATTTTTGCTATCCTTCAACATTTCAAAAGGGCAAGTTTGCAGATTTTCAACCCGCTATTGTTACAATGTTGGTAATATGTAAATGAACAATGTTTACTCTTTCTCTGAGTTACGTGTACTGAGATATTCCTGTTTATGTGTCAGCAAAACTGTCATGCAAACCTTCCCTTACCTTTCCCGGTTTCACAGAAAAGGCTTAAGTCCCAGACTAAAATGCATGTTAAAACTGTCTTAACTGGAAGCAACTTGCACTGACATGTCTTAAAATATTTCAGTGCCATTGTTTTGTCTCAAGATGAACACCAGTAATGTTTTTTTTTTTCTAAAGCCTGGTTCAAGGCAGGATAATTAGGCCGATTTTAGCCCCGATTTACCCCTTCCGACAATATTAAGGACGCTCCGATTATCGTAAAATAATCTGATCAGATATTCCTGCCGTGTGTGGTGTGTTAAGACTGCTCTCGTCTGCTCGGAAGGACGTCGGGACCGCTCCGATCTCAAATCGGGGATATCCAACATGTTGGATTTTTTTGGCCCGATTTCTCCTCGTGTGTGGTGTCCCCCGGGGACAAACGAGCACGCAGCCTGTGGACTGTGGCGTGTAGCCAATCAGAAAGCGAGGTGACGAGGCGCAGAGGAAGCACTGGGAAACAAAATCAAAACAGCCGGCGGCATGGCACACCAGAAAGTCCGGTGGACGTCGGAGATGGATTCGGTTAAAAACAAACTACAAACTATCGCCACTGCATCCTCTTCGTCCGCCATGATTGTTTACTCTGAAGTCACGTTTGATCTCGAGGGATTTTGCAAGATTTTCCGTCTGACCTGGGAATGCTCGGGAGTCAAATCGGTTCGTGTGTGATGTGTTGATTTTGCCGTGTGGCTGCGCACCACACACTGTACGTCCAAAACTGTTAGACCCGTGATTTTTTTATCGCCGTGTGTGGGGTCTCTCAGGTTTGGAAAATCGGCCGATAATTTTAAAATCGTCCCATGTGAATTTTAATTTTTAAAAAAGATTTTAAAAAGCTACTAAAATATCCTAATTTAACTGAGGCCTAATCCTGGCTAAATCTAAGCCCTGTCTGTGAAACCGGGCCAATGCAATATAAGGTTAGTATCTGGCAGTTTTTTATGTCCATCTATAGTTGTCATCATCTGAAGTCTTCAAGAGTGTTGGTGTCATTAGAAGTCTTCACAAGTGAGGCTGGATCCAAACTGGAGCTGCTGTAATCTCTAGTAAACTTGCCGAGCATCCTGAGATAGAAACAGGGAAACAACAGGAGAAAGATTAGCATAGCTGCTGTAATATTTCAGGCAAAAGATGATCATGTGCACTTTTTACTATTTTATAGTCTTATAGTGCAAGATTATGGGATGTGTTAATTGAATGCTTGGATAAAGAGATGCGTCTTTAATCTAGATTTAAATTAGGATTATGTTTCTGGGCCCCAAACATTATCAGGAAGGTTATTCTAGAGTTATTCCCTCACATTCAATTGAATTAATAGGAACTCGTCTGATTTTAATGAGAAAACATGACCTAACGAGTCAGCATTTTTATATTTGAACACTATACATTATTACAATGCAAACGTCCTAAACATTTCTGAGTATTATCAATGTTAAAAACAGTTGTGCTGATTAATATTTTTGTGTAAACCAGTGTAACAATTTATTCCATTTTCTTTTTTTCTCTCTCCAGAATTAATTGTTAAATAGACCCAACATATGTAAATGGTAGTTTATACTACTGTTCAAAAGTTTGGGTTCAATAGAATTAAAAAAATTAAATAAATTCATATTTTTATTCAGCAAGGATGCATTAAATTGACCAGAAGAGAGAGTAAAGATTTCTGTTTCAAATAAATGCTGCTTTTTTTCCTTTCTATTCATCAAATAATCCTGAAAAACTTTCAAAAATATGAAGTTGTGAATTAATTCGAATAGAAATGTTTAATCAATTATCTTTAATAATAACAGAAACAGTGTTGTCATTTACAAGGTTGTTCAGCTTTAAGAAAAGTCGACCCAAAATGCATCGGGGGCGAGAGCGCGCAGATAGAATAGAGAGAAGAGTGATGAGATTGACATCCATGTGTGTGCGCTGTATTCATGTGTAATCCTGTTCATAAACTTCAGTAAACAGTTCGTTTTATGTAATTCAAGTCGTCAGTGGTCATTACTGCTTAAGGAAGAAAAGATACGGCAAGCACAACTGATTTCAACACTGATAATAATCATAAATGTTTCATCAAATTATAATATTAGAATGATTTCTGAAGGATGATGTGATGCTTCATAGAAAACAATTATTTAAATGTTTTAATATTATTTCACAATATTATTGTTTTTACTGTATTTTTAATTAAATAAATGCAGTCTTGGTGAGCATAAGAGACTTCTTTCAAAACATAAAAAAATTGTACCAACAACATTAGTGTGTTTAACATTAGTGTATGTTTGAAGTTTTAGTTTAGTTCCTTTGTCCACAAGTGGAAATTTGTCTTTGGTTTAGTTTTACTTACTAGTAATATGGTTGATGGTGCCTTAGAGATGATGATCAGCTCAACTCTGCTACGATGCAGGGCATCAGCATGGAAGATCTAGGAACACAACAAACCATTTGTTACAGAGCCAACAATATTATACAATAACAGGTTTATTAAAAGGAAAGAAGCTACAGCAGAAATGAATTGCAGAAAAGAGAAAGAATATACAGAAAATGATTTCTTAATTAGGATAACAGAATTTATGTTTTTAGGTTTACTTATCCATTATGTTGTGTTCAAACCCCTATAACACTTGTGGTGTTCCTGGTAAAAAATGACCAGCCTTTAAAGAAATAGCTTATAAATCACTTGTTATGCATATTATCACCCAATATTGGATTCAATCTTTTTGTCAACTTGTTCTCTTTTAATTAGTACTGGTTTTATAATTCTGTTTGCATCTGATTAATCATAGGCCTCATTTATCTAAGAGTAGGCATCTCATTTTTTTTTGTAAAAAAATCATTATTTATAAATAATTTTGAAAATATTAAATAAAATATGAACATCATGTACACATATGTACATGTGTGCTTGCAAACATTGAGCCCTTGGATCTGTGCATGTGTCGG